TAATGAAATTTTGATTAAAAAATTGTAAATTTCAAAAAAAATCACTGTCATTGACAGTTATTTTAGAACAAAAAAAAATCATTCATTCGATTATTTCCATTCGTATTCGGTCATATTAGCACAATTATCGAATGTCGAAATAATATCGAACGTCAACAACAACAACAACAACAACAACAACAACAACAATTATGAATCAAAACAACAAAAAAAAGAAAACAAAATCTCAATAAAAACAAAAAAGATCAATAAACCAAAATGTAAAAGAAAAAAAAACTGGACAACAACATTCTGTGAATGAAAATTGTTGTCTTTTTGTCAATGTTTTCTTGTTTCATTTGTTGTTGTTGTGGATTCCACCAAACGAAAAAAAAGCAAACAGCAAAAAGCAACAAAAAGCAAGAAAAAAAAGAATCTAAAAGTTTGTTGTTGAGAAAAAAAAATAATGGTTACATGGATAGAAAATAGCAAGATGCATCACACACATACAAACAAACATAAATATAAAAAATAAATGGATGAAAATTGTATTGTATTTCTGTGTTTTGTTTTGTTTTGTTTTGTTTCTATTACTTGATGAGATGAGAAATGGTAGATAGATAGATGAATGAATGAATGGAGTGGCGTGTGTGTTTGTGTGGATGCCGGGTAAAATTCTGATTATTGTGATTGTGAACACACACACAGAAACACATTTTCTTTTTCACTTTACACTTTGTCCCTATCCACCATTTGTCTTTATGATGATAATGGTTGTTGTGGATGTGTTTTTTTTTTTGTTGCTGTTGTTGTTGTTGTTGATCAAATTATGTTGCCAGAGCAAGAAAACCAACTCAACAATGGTAAAACAATGAACTTGATATGAAAAATATTTTTCATCAAAATAAAAATGACAACAACAACAACAACAAAAAAAAACACACAAGAAACACGTTCACAATGGAGTATAGAATGATATTTTTTGTTTTGTTTTGTTTTATATTATTTCAATTGGTCATGATTCACATTTAGTCTGAAGGGTCCAAAACAAGTCAATGACAATGTATGTTTGTTGTTGTTATTGTTTTTATTTCTGCTTGGAAAAGTCAACAATGAAATTTTTTCTTGTCTTTCACACATCAAAAACGAAATGATCATGTTTCATATTTGTTGTTCACAGTTAAGATGGAGATTTTTTTTTCTCACAATTCTTTTTCAATGCAATAATGAATTGAAAACAATTTTTTCATTTGTATTTGCTTTGCACACAAATACATTACATATACAAATACATACAAAAATAAAAATTAAAACGACCAGATCTTTTGCATTTCTGTTGTTATTAATTTTTTAAATTTTATTCATTCTTATTATTCGATGAGATCGATTTGAATTTTATTTTTTTTTCATTCATTCATTCATGTTTCTCATTTTTTTTTCATTTTCAAATTTCAAGCCAATCGGCTGAGAGAAAGAGAAAAAAAAATGGGAGAGAAACAGAAACAAAAAAATTTTAAAGAGAAAATTGAATTTAAAATCTGGAATTTGCAAGGTTATGTACGTGTGTGTGTGTGTGATGATGTCTGCCTGTTGTTTTTTTTTGCATCATTATCAATGTGTGTGTGTGTGTGTGTTCTCAATAAATATCATTTTTTTTGTGATATTGGAACGGCTTTTTTTCTGGTTTTTATATATTCGATTATATGTTGTTTTTTTTTATTCATTCATTTCGACCTAATCGACCAAGCGAAACGAATGAATGAATGAATGAATGAATGAAAAATAATGAACGCAGATAGTGTTTGTTTGCGAGATGGAGAGAATCCGACAAAAAAAAAGTGGAATGACTACTGATTTGTTACTTGGCCATACACATATATTATATTCATATCCGTTGCTATGATTGTGTGTTTCGTTATTTTTCTGGTTCATTTGATTGCCAATTGAATTAATTTATCTGTCCGTTTGTTCATTTATTTATTTATTTGGACCCATAGATAACTGGTTATCTTTTTCTTTGTCGTCGTCGTCGTTTTTTTTTTTGGTCTTGTCTATCAAGTTTTATGATAATTTAGTCATTTTTTTTCTTCATTTTATAAAATTGATATATTTTCACCCACTCATTACATTCATTCTTAAACAAAAAAAAAAAAAAAAAAACACAAAACAAAACAAAAAGGTCAGGTTCATTTATTTTGTTCGTTATTTTTTTTGCCACTGTTATTCAATAACAAATGTGATGATTAATTCCGTAATTCTAAACACGCATGTCATGTAGTTTCAAAAAAGTAGTACGAGAATGCGTATGTGTTTGAAACAATTCTGGCCAAACCAACCAACCAACCAACCAACCATCCTAGTAGTCCTAGGTAAATAATCATGATGAAAATTGAAACAAGAACCAAAAAACAAAGAGTAAATATGGAAGGAAAAATATACAAAGTTTAATTTAGGACACCATTTGTATTCATTCATAATGTAATGCAATGTTTCGTTTGGTTTTTTTTTGTTTTTTTCATTAACGATTTTTAATTATTTCATTTAGCCCTGATTCAATTGTTTCATACAAAGAATACCGACATTTGGTCATTATTTACCAACATGTTTGTCCACTGTCCATATTTGTTGTGTATAACATGTGTACACACATTGTATGTTTTTTTTTCGTTACTGTCTCAGTTTATTATTACCAATAATGATTGAAATTGAAATTTTTCTTTTTTTTAAATGATTAAAAATCATCAAGAATTTCAACTTCAATTACAAAGTTACATTACTATTTTGGATTAATCCGTTTGTCAAATGTGTGAGAAAAAAAAATTAAATTGAAATTCACTTCAAATTTGGAACACATTTGGATACTAATTTTATTAGAATCTTTGCACCAGTTGGTTGACACAAACACACACATAAACACTAATACAATTACAGATTACATTAAATTTTCCAGAAAAAAAAATACCAACATCCATAGCATCCAAACATTTGTTGTTTCGTTGACATTTTCAACATTTTTTTTTGTTTTGTTTTAACCATCCCTAGTAGTCCTAGGTAAATAATCATGATGAAAATTGAAACAAGAACCAAAAAAAACAAAGAGTAAATATGGAAGGAAAAATATACAAAGTTTAATTTAGGACACCATTTGTATTCATTCATAATGTAATGCAATGTTTCGTTTGGTTTTTTTTTGTTTTTTTCATTAACGATTTTTAATTATTTCATTTAGCCCTGATTCAATTGTTTCATACAAAGAATACCGACATTTGGTCATTATTTACCAACATGTTTGTCCACTGTCCATATTTGTTGTGTATAACATGTGTACACACATTGTATGTTTTTTTTTCGTTACTGTCTCAGTTTATTATTACCAATAATGATTGAAATTGAAATTTTTCTTTTTTTTAATGATCAAAAATCATCAAGAATTTCAACTTCAATTACAAAGTTACATTACTATTTGGATTAATCCGTTTGTCAAATGTGTGAGAAAAAAAAAATTAAATTGAAATTCACTTCAAATTTGGAACACATTTGGATACTAATTTTATTAGAATCTTTGCACCAGTTGGTTGACACAAACACACACACATATACACTAATACAATTACAGATTACATTAAATTTTCCAGAAAAAAAAATACCAACATCCATAGCATCCAAACATTTGTTGTTTCGTTGACATTTTCAACATTTTTTTTTGTTTTGTTTTGTTTTTCATTATGATACATATTTAAACGACAGCTTCAAAATCAACAATGATGGACATGATCACTGAGATGATATTATAACCAACTTGGATGTAAATGAAAACAGATTGCTTGTTCAATCATTCATTCATTCATTTAATTCAATTCAATTCAATTCTGATCATTTCATGAACCAGAAAAAATGATAATATTTTGAAAGGAAGATGATCATGATCATGATCATGATCATGATGGAGATCATAAAGTGAAAAAGATAGTGATTTCTTTTTTTTTCTTGGTGTATGGCTAATTTCAAATTCGAATCACATGTGGAATTAATTTTGTTTGTTTGTTCCTTGATATTAATATCATTATTGTTCACTGATTATTACTATTCTTGTTTAAAATTAATAAAAAAAACCCATTCCAAATCCATAGCAAAGAATCAGAATCAAATGGAAAAATATTCACTAGAATGGAAGAAAAAGACAATGAGAAAATTATATTCAATGTCTCTCTCTCTCTCTGTGTGTGTGTGTGTGTGTGCGTTGATGCATCATCATCATCATCATCATCTATTTTGATGGAAAATGAGATTCTCATTTTTGCTTGAATTTTACGTTTATTATTATTTCGTTTTACGGAAATCAAAACAACAACAACAACAACAATGACAACAAATGACGATTAAGATTATTTTACTGTTGATAGCAGCGTATATATATGTGTGTGTTCAATGATCCTTGATGTCAAATTTTGTTTGCATTGTTTTGTTCGTTTTTTTTAGAGCTGACTGTCTGCATTATTGAAATGAATGAGAATCATTGAAATATCCAGACAGTCTCGACAATTTTATTTTTATTTTTATTTTGATGTTTTATTGTTGAACAAACTGAAAAATCCATTTTCCTACCACAGTAAATACATCCATGAATCGATATATTGGTAATGTTTATTGGCCACCATTCAATGACAAAACAAAATTGAAAATTTTTTTTTTTTGAATAATTTTTTTAATTTCTTTAATAAATTATATACAATTGAACTAAAAAATAAAGAGAGAGAAAGAAAAACAACAGTTTTATGTATAACAATTAATTAATTAATATATCATCAATAATCAATAATCAATAATAACAGCAGATAGATTGATATTAGATAGAATATATATGTATGTATATATATAATAAGAAAATCAAAGTGAAGAAGAAAAAATATAGCACATGTTAACATTATATTTTTATGTTTTTTATAATAATAATTTTTTTTTGTTCAAATTATTTTTTCATTTTTTATTTTTTAAACAAATTTAATAAATAATAATATAAAACATCAATCAATAAACATCTTACATTCTTAGCTTATCGTTGCCGTTGATTGTGATTGTGATTTTGCTTTAGGCTGATGATGATGTTGATGTTGTGCTGCAACGGAAACGGATGTCGATGATGATGACGATGTTGTTGTTGTTGTTGATGTAGTAGTAGATGATGATGATGATGATGTAATCATTGCTGATACATTGACCATTGCTGATGATGATTGCCGTTGTTGTTGTTGTTGTTGTTGTTGATCACTAATATTACCAGATAGATAACCGGATACATTTGTTGATGATGATGATGATTGTAATGTGGATTTATCTTCACCCAATAACCAATATGTAGTCATTTTACCTTTTCCCTGGTTGTGATTGAATTAAAAATTTTTTTTTTCATTAAAAATTCAATTGAAAATCAAACCGAGAAAAAAAATTGTAAAATTAGCATCAAATAATGATGGAGAGAAATTATTCAAATTCATTGATAACGTTTCTTTTTCCTTTTTTTTCTTTCACTTCTATTTATAATATCGAAGTAAAGGTTGAATCCAAAATTTGTCTATTGGGAAATTCAAATGAAAAGGCTTGATCATTTGAACCACAATGCAATATATATACGATAAATAAATGGTAATAATAATAAACTTTCATTATTATAGGTTAGTTAGTCAAGTTTTTTTTCCAGAAAAATGAAATAATTCATTTTCATTGTGTGTTGATGGGCAATTTCTCTTTTTTTTTATTCGTGCATCAAACACACACACACACACACACACGTAATATTCTAAACAAAGGTAATGGTTTTGACGCTAAAACTTTCACTTTCAAATGAATAGGAAAAAAATGAACACAAAAATTCTTTTTATAATTGATAGCCATCGTGTGTGTGTGTGTGTGTGTGTGTGTGTCATGATATTTCTTTATTCTTCAGAATTCTATTCATGTAAGAATTTCAGTCATTTTTCTTTTGTTATGAAATATATCCGACTATCAAACACGAATTCTACATGGATTCTATTTTAGGAGAAAAAAAATACTGACAAATACAACATATAGATTGGCCATCTATAGATGTAAATTTTTGTTTTCATTTTTCATTCTTACCTTAATATCAATACGGCCACGAAGTTCTAATTTAAATGTTTTGAAACGTGCCAAAACCTGCTGTGTTTGTTCCGATACATGTATTTTTAATGCTAGAATGAGGATTGTTGTGGTTTTTGTTTGAATCATAAAATTAAATTATTTAAAATTTTTAAAAAAAAACAATAAATACATACGTAATCCTGTGGATTCCATACGTGAAGCTGTATTTACTGTATCACCAAATAAACAATAACGAGGCATTTTATGTCCAACAACACCGGCTGCACATGGACCAGTATGTATACCGATACGTAATTTCAATTGTTCATCCGGTTTATGACGAATAGTAAAAGATTTAACTGCATCTAATAATGCCAATGACATGCGAGCAATTTCAGCCGCATGTCTATCACCATTACGCATAGGTAATCCTGATACCACCATATATGAATCACCGATAGTTTCCACCTTTTTTTACAATATCATGACGATGATGATGATGATGATGATGATTTTTTTTTGTTTTATTTTTGTATATTCATAAAGAATTTAAAAGAAAAAAAATAATATTCATTTAATCAATCAATATGATTGGCATTTATTAATTATTGATGATAACTAATATCACTAACCTTATATACATTATAATTTTCAATAGTCGAATCAAAACAAGTATATAGATCATTGAGAAAATCAATAACTTGCATTGGTGTCGATTCAGCCGATAAGGATGTGAAGCCAACAATATCGCTAAAATAAATGGTTACCATTTCATAGGTTTGTGGTGTAACCGCTTGTCCTAGAATCAATTGTTTTGCAACCAATCTGGTGAAATGAAAAAAAAAAAATTTTTTGTTTTGTTTAATTTCTCTCTCAAAAAAAAAAAAACCTAATTCTTGTTTCTCAACACACACACTTACTTTGGCAGTAATTGATAAAGCAAATCTTCAGCTTTTGATTTGGCCTCTAAAAAATCAGCAGTCCTATCTTCAACTAATAATTCCAAATTATTAGCATATTGCTCTAAACGATTCAGTACAGTGTCCAATAGTTGACTTTTATCACCCATTCTAATGATTTTTTTTTTGAATCAATGAATTGAATGAATTTTTAATATCAAAATAAAAAAAACTAAAAAATGACCATAAAAACATACTCATGTAATTTATGAATAGTTTCTTTCAATGAGGTAAAATTTGGCCGATCACCAGATTCTTGTGGCCAACATTTTTGTATCAATTGTTCAAGGACGGATGTCGATGCTGATGATGAAATTGGATCATTATTATTATTATTATTATTTGAAAATGGTGCTATTGTTGTCAATGTTGTTGTTGTTGTTGCTGTTGGATCACCCGCTGATGATGAATCGGTATGTTGCAATTGCGATAATGTTGATGATGATGATGATGATGTTAATGGTTGTATACCATCATTAGAATTGGTCGTCGTCGTTGTCGATGATAATGTACTGAATTTTTCCAAATCTTTTTCGTAACATTCATTGAAAGACAAATATATAATAAATAGAAAAAATTTTCAATCAAATCAATGAAAAACTTACTTTTCTGTACAAATGATGATGATGATGATGATGATATTGATGCCTGTTTAACATCGGTAGTAGTTGTTGTCAACAAAGTTGCCGTTGTAGATATGTCATTTTGATTGATGATTTTATCAGTTAAAGTTTCATCGATTGATTTCGATGAATGGCTATTATGTTCAATTTTATCTGATGTAGACAATAATTTATTTTCGAATGCTGGAGCCACCAGCGTTGAACCCGATGATGATATCGTTGATAATTGTTGGTCACTATTATTTAAGCTCTGTGTTTGCTCATATGGTGCTGGTTTTGTTATTAGATTACTACTATTATTCACCGTTACAGGACCAGATCCGCTACCTGATTGATCACCCGAATTTGTATTGGCTACAGTATCGATCTGATTAAGATTTCGTTCAGATACTGAGCTTAGCATTAATTTACGACAATTGGCACAATTAAATGTACAGATTCTAGGATGTGATGATCGTCGTCTACCCATTATTGCACCGGAAACAGGTCCAGCACTGCTAGAACCACTACCCCCATGTTGAAATGCAGGCGATACCGGGGAAAGCCATGCGTTTGAATTCCAGAAACCAGAACCAGTCGAACCTGTCGATGAATGTAAATGTTCAACACCGATCGATGAACGACGATAATAATCGAATATGATCGATGTCGACGATGAATGAAATGGTAATGAAGGACGATGTTGATTGTTTCCACAATACTGATCCCATACTTGTCCGGTGGAGCCTGCGCGTGAACCGGATCGAGATCCAGTACCGGATCCACTACGTTCAGTTACATTTTGTTCATTACCTGATGTTGATGAAAATGATTGACCAGGTGGTGAATCGGATGTAACTTTGAATTTAAATGGACATTGTTGATTGGTTGTAGTATCACCATCAAAACTATCTTCACTTTCCAATTGATGATAACTAAAATCAGATGATTTTTTATTCAATGTTGTTTCATCCATATTGTCAATTAATGATTGATTTTATAAATCAAATTAATTGAATCTCGGTGGATGATGATGATGATGATGATAATAGATCAGAATAATGGATAAAAATTCTATCCACTGGAACTAGGAAATTCATTGCTAGACGAATCATTTTTGTTGAGCAAATTTTTGTTTCCATCCACATGGTTATCAATATATTCTATATTGAAAAGCCGTCTTTTTTTTCATCAATATTGAACTGAATAGCGATATCTGTATTTTGCATCAGTGGAACAAAAAAAAAAAGAAAAGAAAAATAAATAAATGATGTAATGTAACGTAAGTACAAAGGATGTAAATAATAATAAAAAAAAGAATTAAATATATATAAAATAAAAAAGCTCAACTTATCTACTGATTTTTTGTTTCTTAGAAAACTAATTCAATCACTGATGATCTTTGAATACTTGAAAAAATTCGTAACTAACAACAACATCAACAACAATAAAACATCAAGGAGTTTTGTTGCTGCTGTTGTTGTTGTTGTTCTGAAATTAAATTCCAAATTTGTTTGAAAATGGAAAATTCTTTGAAATTTTTTCTTCTTGTTGTTGTTGCCTTTGGATTCGAATAAAACCATTATCCTCGACAACGGCAATAATTAAATATATAAGAGAGAAAGTGAAAGAAAAAAAGAATTTTTATCGTTCAACATTCAATTTATTTGGATATTTTAAAAAAAATGATGATGATGATGATATGTGATACAAATTCAGTAAGTGACACACAAGTGAGCAAATATTATCTCGTTGAATATTTAATTCAACGGTCTCTTTTTTTTCAGGATTTATATATATTGAAAAATGGCCACAGTAACAAATTACATTTTGACATGAATTTTTGAACAGTAAAGAATCCAGGAATTTTCATCGTTTCTCCATCTTTTTCTCCACACACACACACATACACACATACACACTGTTTTTTATTACGTGAGAATTATCATTTTTGAAACATTCACGAATTACAACGATTCCCAGGAATCGTAACATTTTTTTTATTTCAATTTCAATTTATCGTCAAATTTTTTTTTTATTTTTGCACTGATTTTCACTATTCTCATATGTGAATGAAAAAAAAAAAAAAATTCTGTATAAACCTTCATCATTATTTTGCCATATTGACTGAATTTTTTTTTTTACCATTACAATATCTGTTTGTTTTCCATGTTGGAAATTGTTTTACAAAACGATTAGGATTAGTACGACAAATAATGACAAACATATCACAATACACCCACACACACACACACACACACACAGAATAAAACAAAAAACAGCAACAAAATGAACAAAATGTTAATAGAATCCAGATTAAATCTTCAAATGGAACAATTGATAAAACAACAAAAATATCAATAATATCTGTGTGTTTTTTTCTAGTGTTTCAAAATGTATTCCAATAAATTGCCTGTATGTAGAATATATATGGAATGATGGTGTATAATTTAACATATGTTTTACATTCAGACAACGGAAATGTCTATTTCAGAATTTGTAGATAATTGAATTTCCATTTGAATTTTTTTTTCATTTGTTTGTTTGCATGTTTGCTTGTTTGTCTATTTTATCTCTGTTATCTGTAAATAATGATGATGTTCAATTGCATAATCGATTATCATATATGAAGAATAAATTCAATTCAAACATGAACAAAATCGATAGTCAAAAAAATTTTTCCTCTTCTCTTTTCTTTGCACAGTTTGCTTACATAATCAATATTTATATATTTTATATTATGTTTATATGATAATCATGCATCATAGAATAAAATGGACGGACATGGAGAGAGAGAGAAACAACAAATGAACGATTCACAAATGATGACACAATGATGCCTTTTTGGCATAGTGTCTTTTTTTTTGTATATATTGTTATTATTATTAGATACGATTCTAAACGGTTTTTTTTCGAAAATCTCATTGTATGTAATAGATGGTCAAGTGATTGGTCTTTAAGCCAACCAAAAAACAAATAAATAAATAAATGCAATGAGACAAGAATTTTCTTTAATCATTATAATGGATAACATGTATATATGAAATGAAATTCTGTATATATCTGAATATATATGAGAACAAAAAAAAATAACATGAAAAGTATGAAAAACGATCGTCTGTACAGATGATCATCATAATATATTTTGTTGTCTGGGTATCTGGCTAGATTTGATAATAATAGGTATTTGTCTAAATTCATCATCATCATGATGATGATTATCACTTTTATATGATTGTAGAAGCTATAAATGTTGTTGTGGTGATGAGAGAGAGAAAAAAAAATCTATGTATCAGTAATCTTTGTGAATGCGTAATAAACATTAAAACATGCACAGAATTTCGAAACAGACAACAACGAAAAAAAAATGGTTCATATAATGATAATGATAAAAAACAGAAATGGTCATTATTTTTATTAATGAAATGAAGATGTTTTCTTTTCCTGTATTATAAATAAAGATTCTAATCAATTTACACATGGGATTTGAATGAAACAAAAGAAAAAAAAATTGTCAGAAAAAAAAAAAAAATTGTATGCATTCAAAATGATAAAAAAAATCCATAATTCTAATGTAATTCTAGATATATAGAATATTCTTATGTTTATTATGGAAACCAGGAAAAAATAGATAAATAAATGAATCCATAATAAAAATAATGATAATGATAATGATCATGATCATGGTTTCAAATAATATTACTTGTGTGACTTTCTCAGTTTTCACAATGAAAAAAAAATGAAATCGTAATCAATAGATTTCAAAGAAATCAATAAATATTGTTCAAATACTGTTATTTTATATTGATCTGAATCGATCAACAAACATTTTTTTATTTTCGTTTTCTTCAAAATTGAAAAACAGTAAAACAAAAAGACAAACTACTAATCCGAATGGAATATCGTATATTTTGACACGATAAAAACCGATAACCAGGAATTTTTCATTGATTTTTTTTTGGTGGTCATTGATGGTTATTTTTTTGTATTCAAAACAAAACAAAAAAAAACTATTGATCTCGATATCGATATTGATATATCATTTCTTAGGAATTAGGGAAATGAGAAAATTTTTTTGTTGTCGTTGTTTTTTTTTTGCTTGATCATAACATTAAAAAAATTCTCACTGTTTATATTACCAAATGTGTGTTATTCCGGGTTTAGATTCTTGATTCTTTTGAACAAGAATTTCATTTTGAACAAAATATTTTTTTTCTGTCAATTCGTTTTAAATTCAAATTCTATGACAAACAAAATATACAGACAGACACGCACACACACACACACACAATCAAGATAAAATATGTGAAATGAAATGAATAAAGAAAAAACGAGATTTCTCATTTTTTTCCGTGTTTTTTTTTATTCGCTTTGCTTTTTATTTTTATACTAGAATTATATTGGAATTCTAGATTCAAACGAAATTCAAATAAAAGAATTTTTTTTTCTTCTTCTTACTTTGATCTTTAATGGCTTAGCATTCTCTCTCTGTAATCCTATATCATTTACATATTCGTTCAATAATAATAAAAATATATATGCCAAATGAATCGAATAATTCGCCACTGACAACTGGAATCAATAGCTGAAATAACAACAACAACAACAACAACAATGAGAAAAAAAGGAAATAATTTTATTCAACGAAAAAAAATGTATGTCTTTTTCAACAAAAATCTTACAACAAAACAAATATTTTTTCTTCTTCAATTGACGACCGGGTGCCGGCGAATAAAATAAAAAAAAAGAAGAAGAAAAGAAATACAAATGAACCCCTCGAAAACAAACAAATGAATGTGAAAAAAAAAGACTTGAATATATATCGCCCTCCACCCCCAATCTCCGTTTTTTCAATTCTTGTCAATTTGATCAAATTTTTTTTTCTTTCTTTGTTCGATTTTGAAATTTATTTCATGAAAATTTTTCTCTTTCTCTCGCTCTCTCTCTCTATCTCTCTGTCGATTCAATTCAAGTTTGTGTACGATATATATTCGATAACGATCAAAAAGAATTTGACAATAAAGTGTGAAAACAGAATACTTACCCAGTCGTATGTATAAAAATATGGAAAAAAAGACAATCAAATTTTAAAAGTTGACGAGAGAGAGAGAGAGAGAGAGAGAAAAAATTGTTGAATGGAAATTTTGCAAAAAAATGAAGAAAAAATCCACAAACACTAAAACAGGCTAGAATCATCGAAATGAATTGAATTATAAATTGAATTATTATTATGTTTTGAATTCATATTATTTTTTTGAAAGCTGAATTTTTTAAAAATTTCATTTTCAGAATGATTTTGTGATTTGCAATGACACAATGACGTATGTTGACTATTTTTTTTTTTTTTTTTTGCTATTCAGCATCACTACTTCAAATGTGAATTAATAATAACAAAATGTAAATAGGTATGATATCTGATCATGATTATTGTTGTGAATTTAATCGATTGTATCGATTGTTGATTTGAGTTGGTAAATATTTTTAAACATTGTTATGTTAGTGAGATTGTGAACAATAACAATAGCATGATGATGATATGGCCAATAAAATATATCGAATCACTTTGAGGTGAAAAGGTAAAAACAAACAAACAAAAATTTACAAACAAAACTTAACCGATGAATTGTGCGCAATTTGTATTTGAATTTTTTTTTTGTTTTGTTTCAATCAACACAACACAAAAGTGGATACATATTAGAATCATTTGAATTTGTTTATTATTAGACAATTCTGAATTGTAGATATTATGTTGTTGTTGAATGAAATTTGGTTTTGAATTTTTTTTCGATATTCAATGTGGGATGAATATAATTTTCACATATATCAAACACACACACACACACACACGCAAACAACACCATATAAACAAAAACTGTTTTCAATCATTCTCAGTCTTCATCATCATCATCATCGATGCACCAAAGAATCGAAAAATATATTTGTTGGGTTGAAATTCTTTATTGCAAAAAAAAGCCTCATTTTTCATTCGTGAACATAGAATAGAATGTAGAAAAATTAAACATACACAATGAAATAAACAAAACAAATTAATACATGTAACAAACAAACAAACAAATAAATAAACGAAAAATCATTGATCAAAATGAATTTTTTGTTTTTGTTTTTTTTTCTTTTGCATTTCTAGTTTTGATTCTGATGATGATGATCACAAAATTCGTTCATAAGACAAAGACATAAAAGTTAATGAAAAAAATAGAAAAAAAAATTAGACAAACGTTGATGAAACTGAATAATTAATCAAATGACAATGGATAAATAATTAAGAATAAATGAAAAAAAAAAATGATATCGTGTAAAATTAACAAACTGGACAGGCAGATGGATTATTTTTCAATTCAATATAGTCACATTTCCGTTGACCATGTGCATAATTGTTGAAACAACTTTTACAAATAGTAATGGCCACAAAAATGAATGGATTCTATTCTCATCGATTTGATCGAAATAGGAACTTAATGAAAAACATGATTCTTGATTGAAAATAAACACACACACACACACATCGCATAATAAGAAAAATTCTGTACAACTGAATTAGTTGAATGTGTTTTTGTGTGTGTGTGTGTGTGTGTATGTGAAAGCAAAGAACAAGAACAATGAAGAAAAAACCATAATAATTCGGTTGAACGTTGAAAGAATTTTAAAATTTATATTCATTCAACACACACACACACAAATAAACGTATTGATGATAGAATGAATGATGCGCGAAATATATGATGATGATGATGATCCGATCAAAACCAACAAAATAAAAGAAGAAAAAATGAAGAGAAAAACAATGAATCCAAGTTTTATATACTCACATTTTTATCCACCCACCCACACACACACACACACACACAATTTTGATATTGAAACTCGGTACCCGATATAATAACTTCGACACGCACGAATTGTTAATATTGTGTGTTTGTTTGTGTCTATCGTCCTTTTAAAGCAAAAAAAAAAAAAAAAAAAATACTGTTCTGTAGTGAAAATAAATTAAAACTTTTAAAAATTTTGATCCAGTAATGGGAGAATGAAATGATGAAAATTTTAAAAGTAAAATTTATTTTTCCAAAACTCTAGTTCAAATTACTTGAACTGAATGAGTTTGTTTGTGTGGTGAGATTTTTTTTTTGTTGCGGTTTTTTGTTTCATTCATTTGGAATGAATAATTTCTGGAAAATTACCGTGATAAAGATGAAAAAAAAAAATTATTGAAAGTAATGATTTGTTATGAATATATTTTCACATATATATTGATGATGATAAAAATCATACAGGTTGTAGCCAATATGTATCGGCGATGTCACACAATTTAAAATGCAATCATGAATGGATTTTTTCATTTGAATTTGGAACAATTTTTATTGATGAAGAAATTTTTTTTTTTAAAAGAAAAAAATTTTTTAATTGAAAATATAAAGTTCATGGAATTTCCTTTTCCTAGCACTTTTCACAAACACACACGCACCAAGAATTGGTTTATTTAATAAATGTTGAAATTTTCTTGATTTTAGCATCATTTTTGTTTTGTTTTTTCTTCGGAAATTTATTTTGGATCAATGAAAAAAAAAATGATGAAATGTTTAGAATTGTACAACCGAAATTCATGACGAATATCAGAACGACAAGATGGCAAGATTTACATGAATGAAATCAAGTGAACGACTGACTGACTGACTGGCTGACTTGAATGAATTGATAACTTGCTTTCCCGATATACACACACATACAAACACTGAGAATAAGGTCTGCGGACATATGGTGATTTTTTTTCCTACATCGTTTACTATACTATGAACTACGTTTGTTCATAGTACCGACAACAACGACGACGACGACGACGACAATATCTGCTTTCTTCAAATCAGAAGGAAGTGGCATTGCTCTGAACATTATTATAACCAAAATAATAATAGCGGTAAATATTGGGCGCCTGGAATCTGTGGAAAAAAAGTTTGATTCAGGAATCCGACGCCAGTGATAAAGTGAATACTATGGCACATGATTATTATACAGCAAAAACAAAATATACGTTGTTCTCTATACGGAATATAAATAAATACATTTGATTTGGCCATGACTTTACTTTGTAATTTTGTCTCCTGTGTTTGAACCTTGTATAATGAGAAATGATTTGCCAGGATGGAAATATTATCATAGAAAGTCGACAATAGTAAAAACAACAACAACAACAACAACAACATGACAAAAAAAATACTCAACATGATATTTGACAGATAGACATGTTATTTTTTCTAATTTATACCACATACACACACACACACACACACACACACACACACACACACACACACACACACACACACACACACACACACAACACAAACAAACAAGAAAACAAATCCAGTTTTTCTCATTTAAGATATAGAAATATATATGAATTATAATGAATCAGGTAATACATAAGGGTGGTGATGGTGGTGGTGGTGTTGGTGGTGATGGCGGTATCATCATGGAAATTGAAATAATTCCAGAAAAATATGGTGCCAAAAAAAATGATGGTATGAATCTTATATAAATTTTAAACAGGATGAAAAAAAATGACATGACTAGCTTAGTTAGGGCTAACATATTTTTCTAAACAAAAATTCGAACAATCCATTGATCTGTGTTTCTCAACCATATATGGTCACCAATCTATACAATTATGAATACGAGATGATTACTGAAATTCTGAATTTGTCAGATATCATGGTAAACGAGTTTCGTTCAGAATACATTTACATAATCAATGGAAAAAGGTGTAGAGATTGAAAAACTAACGGAATTCGGAACCGCAGAAAAAAAATGTTAATCATTTGCTCTTTTGAATTGAATGAATTTAAAATTTACAAACTGATTTTTTTTCAATTTGATTCATTCATTCTTATGTACTAAGTGTGTTCTTTGGTTTGCGTGTCATCATCATCATATTTTTTTTTTGCTTGTATAACAGATAAATAATACATATTTTTGTAACAAAGAAGCTATCATTTTCTTTCTTTTGATTATAAAGCTTCTGTTATGTTATTATTTTCATTTGATTTGATTTCTTCTTCTTTCTCTCTTTCTGTATGTGTGTGTGTGTGTGTGTGTGTGTGTGTGTGTGTGTGTGTGTTTGTGATTGATGAATTATTAACCACTCAAATACGTTGAATTGAAATTAGTAGCAAGTAAGCAAGCAAATAAAAGAAAAAGAAAAACAACAACAACAACAAAAACGAAAATATACCGAACATAAAGAAACTGAATAATGAAGATAATGATAAAATTTTCATATATAAAAAAAATTGAACCAAATGGCGTCATCACACACACACAAACCTTTGTCTTGTTTTTTTTGTGTTTATATGGCTCCACTGATGATGATGATGATTATGATCTCACATACACATTGTTTTATCGATATAATCATTATCATCATCATCATCATCATCATCATCATCATGGATCGTCCTTGTCCCATTTATAGTTATTATTTTTTATCTTCAGAATATTCTATTCTATTCTATTGGACTCTAGGTTCAAGTGTTTTTTTTTTATTTCACTTATCATTTTTTTCCCTAGAATATAAAAAAAAACACACTAATGTTGTTCATGATAGCGGTAACTCATTGTCATTGTCATGTGTATATATATATGCATATTATTATCGTTTTTTTTTTGGTTAATTAATAATCGCTTTGTTGTTGTTGTTGTTGTTGTTATTGTTGGTTGACGGTTAAAAAAAAGGGTTTCTTATCATAAATAATGAATTATGGTCACATACACACAGACACACACACACATGCAGCAACAGAATTTGAATTCAAATGAAACAAACAAATGTGTATCCATTTGGATTGTTTACAAACAATCATTGAATTTTAAATCATACACATGGAAAATTTTTATTTTTATTTGGTGTGTGTGTGTTTGTGGTATTTGTTAATCAAGAAAATATTGCAAAATTTTCATGTCATGTTGATGTCATTTCAAAATGTATAAATTTTTTTATCCTAAACAAATGAATTTGTTTGTTTTGTTGTATTTCCAATCGATTTAATCGGACTGTTATCATTATTGTTGTTGTTGTTGGTCAATGTATTCGATATTGATTTGGTTATTTTGTTACGATTTTTATCATTTTGATTATTATTGTTTTTATCATTAGTGAAATACAAATTATTTGGATTTGAAATATCATTATTATTATTACAATTATTATTATTATTGATATTAACATTATTGTTGGATGATGTTGATCGTAATTTTGTTAGAATTCGATGAAATTCTTTATTATCATTATTATTTGGCAATGATGATCTATGGCTAATTTGTGTATGATGGAAATGATTATCCATTGACAATGATGATGACGATGATGATGATGAATTATTGTCAATATTTGTTTCAATCAAATCGGATATAGTAACCGAATTTAGACGTTGTTTTTGTGTTTCCAACATTTTTTCATATGATGTTGATTCGATTTCTTTTTCTTTATTTCGTTGCCGTTGTTGATATTGTTGAAATGCACGACGATATTCATTCTCTCGTCGTGGATCATTTGTTTGACCACTGGTGTATGATTTTTATTTTATATAGAAATGAGAAAAGAAAAAAAAATAAAAGAAAGCAAGAACATTATTTGTTCGAAAAAAATATGTCAATAAATAAATGACAAACAAAATAAACGATTGAGTCACAATCATTGAGGTTAACATCAATTTTTTTCATATAGAATAGATAGATTGGATCTTCTGTTCATTCAACTTTTCATTACATTTTTTTTTTTTTTTTTTTTTATTAATGGATCTGAACTTACTGTTTCATTTTCCATAACATTTCACGATGCATCTCTTTTTTCTCTCTTGATTCCAATGATGGATTGGAAAGTTTTTTCGGTAATATAAGGCCATCCTGATCAAAACGATTATTAGTTGAATTTGATGTTGATGATCGGTTATCCACTGAATATTGATGATGATGATGATGATGATGATTTCCATCACTATCATTATTATTACCAACATCATGGAATAGATTTGTTCGTGGTAATGATGACATTTTTTGATGAATGTTTTTTCTTTTCTTGATACAACCCAATTTTAATTTCGAATTTTATTATATAGTTGTTTAATTTTTGAGGTCAGAAAACCTTTTTACAACTCTTTTTTCTTTTTGTTTACTCCACAAATTTGACAATCAAAAAAAAAAACCGAAACGAAACGAAACGATATGAATGAGCTAGATATTGAGAGAAAGAGAGAGAGAGAGAGAAAAAAAAGGAAAAGAAAATAAAACCATCGATTATAACGGGTAAATAATGTAGTTTTTTTTACAAAAAAAAAAAAAAAAAATTTCGTTCAATTTCAATGAAATTATTTTTTCCTTATTATATATCACACATATAAATGTTATGTGGTCAGTTTTGGTTCATTCAATGGTCCACTGGAGACATTATTCAAGGAAATTAAGAAAATCACCAATAAACAACAAAATGATAATGATAATCAGAAGAAAGTTCATTCATTTACAATGACATACTTAAACAAAACTAGTAGATATACTACACATGTGGATGATGAGTCTCTTTGAAATTGAATCAATTTTTTTTGTGGTTGTAAAAAAAACAATTAAAAACAAAAAAGTTGAAAATGAGAAATAAGCACGCACAAAATATTGATGGCCAAAAAAAAAAAAAAGGAATAATTACGAAAAAATAAAAATTAAATGAACACAAAAACAAAAGTGAAGAAAAAAAAATCATTCAAAAGCATAAAAAATAAATTTCTACGGAAATTTATTGGAAAAACCGGTGAATGGAAGGTTTTTTTTTTCGTTTCATTCTTGCCAATGATTGTGAGACACTAAATCCAAATGGTGTTTATGAAGATTCTGATGAAAAAAAAGAAGAAAATTTTTTTTTTTTTTCGTCGTTGTTGTTATTATTGTTTTTTTTTTTTTTTTGAATTTGACAAATCGAATCGAGCCGGTTTATATATGTAGAAATAAAAAATCAGTAGCATCAAACAGTAGTAGTTTGAAGAAGAAAGAAAATTTAAATTTAAATTCAAATTTCAAATGAACAATTTGTAGAAAATAATGATCATGATGAATGTGAATGGATAGATTGAATGAATGAATGAATGAAATAGCTTTATTTGTCGGCGAGATGTATGAAATTCGATGATGATGGAATTTTTTCTCTTCAAATAAATCTATATATGGATGTCAAACAACAACAACAACAACAACAACAGCAAAAATGAAAGGCATAAAAAAAACACTAATAATGATCATAATCAAAAAAAGATCGCCATATTCAAAGATGCCATTGTCATATGACAATGATGATATCGATCATTTGATGATCCAAAATTGAGTATAAAAAAGAACCAAACATGACATCGACAACAACAACAGCAGCAGAAAAAATGAAGAATAACAATGAAGCAAAAAAAAAAAAAAAACGTTGAAAGAAAGAGAGAGAGAGAGAAAGAAAAATTTTCGAAAAAAAGAGAGAAATGAGAAATAACTGCCTTACTGTTTTTTTTTTTTTTTTGATCAATGTTTGGTTGATTTTTCTTTTTTTTTTTTTTTGATGATCTGTCTAACACACACACAATTGATCTATGGGTGGTTATGTTGGTGACAATATTGATAAGAAAGAAAAAAAAATACAATACTCAACACACATACACACACAAATAGAGGTCTATTAATTCATCTTGAGATAAAATATGGTTTTAGGTAATGATGTCATGTGATGCAATTATGAATGAATGAATGAATGAATGGGAAAGAAAATGAGAAAAGAAAAAATAGAAAAATTTTTTTGTCTCGATTTTCAAACTGAAAAAAATTTTTTTTTCTTTCGATTATCAATCAATCACTACTCAAATATTGATTGAGTTCATCATTACACATTACACAGTATATGTGTGTGTGTGTGTGTGATTCATTCTTGTTTTCTCTGTCAAACAACAAAATTCAAATTGAATCATCAATCAATAAATGAATGAATGAATGATGATGATGATGTTTTTAATTATGGTTTTAATATATATAATCATCATCATCGTCACCATTATTACTAAATATAGTCATAGATATAGACAGAGAGAGAGAGAGAGAGAGAGAAATCTATATAGATTAATTTAATTTACCATTTATGTATTAACAATGTCGATGATGATGATAAAAATATTGGATTCCAAATTTGATGAAATACAAGTTTAACTGCATTAACTACAACAACAACAACAACAACGAGGGACAACAATGGTAATAATATGATGATTGCAATAATTGATGATGTTATTTGGCTGTTGTTTATGATGATGATGATGATGATGACGATATTGATGGAGATGGTTGATAGTGTTACCAATGACAATTTTTTTTAGTTATAAAAAAAATTATAAATAAATTGATGTATTGATTGATTGATCAAACAATAACATTAACATCATTGAAAATGATTTACAAATACACATGAGTGTTCAATCTTCAATCATCATTATATATTGTGCCATTTATTCAATGGAATAACGGTGAAATACAGCAAAAAAAACATAAGAACAAAAATACAAATATCAAATTTCATTCACAGAATTTTCTTCATTTTTCATTTATATATTTATATTTATAAAAATGTAAAATGATCAAATCAAAACAACACATGCAACACATAATATAAATTCAACAACAGCGAAAAAAAGAGCTAAAGAGAGAGAAAAAAAAATTTCTAGTTAACCAAAAAAAAAAAAAAAAAAATAAACTAAATGGCAAACACACAAACATGCACTCAGACAATAATAAACAAAAAAAAAAAAAAAAAAAAATAAAAATGATACTACCAGGCTCACCACAAATCAACCATCCAACCAACCAAGAAGAAAATTCACCTTTTCGTTTCACATCAATATTGTCGTTGTTGTTGTTGTTGTTGTTGTTTCTGTTTCTGTTCATGATGATGATGATGATGACTGGATTTTTAGACTTTATTTTTCTCTCTTTTTTACTCTTACACAAGAAAAAAACTCTGTATAAGTATGATGAACAAGACCTGCTATATGTTAATGATGATGATGATGATGATGTTGATAATGATGTGGATAATGGAAATCGATCTTACCTGGCCATTTATTTTTTCATTTTTTTTTTGCGTATGATATAACTGGTCTTTTCTTACTTCTTATTCTTGTTCTTCTTCTTCTTCTTCGATGTAGTCGTTGTCGTTTCTTTTTCTGGTTTTTTTTTATATTCGTTTTTTCTTTTGAAATTTGCTACTGATGATACTTTATGAATAAATGAACTGAATGTTTTTGATAGTTTAAAGGATGTATTAAAATCTGTCAGATTTATACATATCGCACACATAGAGAGAGAGAGAGATGAATGAAAAATAAAATAAAAACAAGGACCAGTTCAATCATTGTCCAGTTACATAGGGTGATCCGAATGAATTTTAGTTAATGTGTGCATGTGTGTGTGTGTGTGTGTATGTGTCTGTTTATATGTCGATACAGAATATGTGTGTGTGTAGGTTTGGTCGATGATCAATCCTCATCATCATCATCATCATGATTATTTATTGTTTATGAGTCACAAACTGGATACAATGTATCCATTCACAGTGATTGTATATTTTCACATTTATATAGAACGAGAAAAATATCCATATAAAAAAAAGCAGGTGTTTAACAACATATAAATAAAAAATACACCCAAAAGAAAATGTTTGTTTTTTTTTACTTGATATAATAATAATCCTTTTTATTATTATTCCTGAAACTTTGTCATTTTTCTTCTGGTCAAAATAAATCCGGTTTTTTTCCCGTGTTCATCGGGTTGTGTCGATTGGTCAAACATTGTGTGTGTGTGTGTATGTGTGTGTTAAAAACTCAATCTTATTCTGTGTGTCCACGTAACCATAGTGAAAATTTTATGTTCCACACAAAACACATAAGCACAAGCATCATATTTTGTTTGGATTTAAAGTTCTTCGTAGTTTACTCTGACACAAAAAAAAGTTTAAAATGATCATTATGAGCTAGTAGAAAATAATAATGATAATGATGATGATGATGATGCCATTATTGTTTGTCAATTTTCCAATTTTTATTATGAATCATTTTCAAGTTTCTGTTTCATAGAATAATTGATTCCATGGATCGTTGTTTGTGTGTGTGTGCGTGTTTAGTGGAGATGGCTAGAATATATTAAATTCAAAAGCGAATGGTGTTTAAATTGCAAGTAGTGGTAGTCGATTTATTATTTCAACCATTATTCTTATTCTACTACTGGAAGATTTGGAATGAAAAAAAAAATAAAAATAAAATAAAATTGATCAATGATCAGATCAAATTATTTTTGTTGTTGTTGTTGTTGTTGTTGTTCCGTGTTTCATAGATCGATCCATGAATTGAAATAAATATATAGTAATGCTATGCTATTTGTTGTTGTTGTTGTTTTCTCATTTATCAAATTGAAATAGTAATAATAATAATAATAATAATAATAATTTATTAAATGATCGATGAAATCAAGACAAAAATAAAATAAAATAAAATCAAACGGCAGGATAATCGTCATTTGTTCGGATGGTATAGGATGGCGGGGTAGAGAATCGGTTGTTTTACACAAAAAAAAAATTTCAGTGAAAATCAGAAAGGAATTTTTTTTTCTGCAAATGTTAATAAAATAATGTCAATGTGTGTGTGTGTGTGTGTGTGTCTGGGGGAGGGGTGTGTGTGTATATATATGGTGTAGGTGTTTTTTTTCATGAAACAACAATAAAATATATAATAAATCCATGTTTGAAAGGCATGACAATGATGATAATAAATTCTTGAGGGAAAAAAATATATGTATTTAAAAAATAAAATAAAAGCGCCAATAAGAAAAATTGGAATGCGACTTGTCCAGTGTGACCAGTGATGATCTGAATACGATGTTTGTAATTGAATTGTTTCGCGAAATTGATTATATATTTTCATATGATGGAATATTGTAAGAAAAACAAAATGATATATTCAGGTCAATACATTTTTTTTTTGCTTTTGATCTTCATCAATAATCGCTAGTCCTCTCAATCAATTTTCCATTTTGCATTGACCATACCAATTGTGGATAAGTTATTTGTTGATTTTGTCTTATACAGTTGTATTCAATTTTTTCAATCGTTCTAATTCAATCATGATGATTGTAATATTTTTCTTCTGTTCGGCCCAATCGTTAATCAAATCTTTCATGACTGTTTTCGATTTCCGTTCACTTTCCATTAAATCTTTGATAGTTGTTTGCTATATATTTATATTTATATGATTAACCATCATATAAAACAAAAGAGAGAAAGATAAAAAGAAAAAAAAACCGATTAAGTAAATGTGAAATTAGAAAATGAAATTCTATTGTCATTATTCATTGCTCCATTGATATATATCGAGAAAAATAATTATAATCACGATTCATGATGACAAGAAATGAATAATTTCAAATTATAAATATTACCATTTTATCCATTGATTGTTGTTGTTGTTTTATAAATGAATCGATACGACCATCCATTGCAGATATTTTTGTACGAAGCTCTTGTATTTCTTGTCGCAATTGTTCATTTTGTTGTTGTTGTTGTTGTTCATTTTTTAATGAAGATGATGATCCATTGCTAATAATCGTTGTTGATATGATTGAATTTGGACTTGAAGCTGTACCATTAGATAGCTTTTGATGATCATTTGTTGTTGTTGTTGTTGTTGTTGCCGTAGACGTTGTTGTTGTTGTTGATGTTATAATTGAATTGTTCAAGTTATTTTTAATATTATTAGCCGATGAACGTAACGATGGAAATAATAATGATGATGTTGTAGGTGTGGTCGTAGTTGTATTTGTTGTTGTGGAATCATTAAGATTTGTATTAGTAGGATTCAATAAACTTGGTTTATTTTGTTTCGATACAAATGGTTTTGTTGTTGTTATTGTTGTCGGTGTAGACGTTGATGCCGTCGTATTTATAGATGATGATGATAATGATGGAGTAGATGTACATGATGATGAAGATAAGGCCGTTTTATTTAATAAATTTTGCAATGGACTATTGTTTGTCATGGTTGTATTGGAAATGGGGGTGGCTGATGATGCTACTGTCGACGTTGTTGCTGTTGTTGTTGTTGTTGTTGTTGTTGTTATTGTTGCTGTTGTTGAAGATGATGAATCTGTATTATCGAATTTATTTATATTACGTTGACGTTTAGCTTCTTGTGCTTCACGTAATTCTAACATCCATGGTAATAATTTTTGTGATGAAGATCCGCCACCGATTTCTCTATTGCTAGCGCCAGTACTGCCACCTTCCGATGGTGATATTGGTTGTCGAATATCGATATCACCATTTAATGAGGATTCTGTAGAGGAAACGTTTGCAGCTGCTGCTGCTGCGATTGAAGGCGATTGTGGTTGCGTATCATTTGTCATTGATGATGATGATGATGAATGAGCACCAGTATTTTCTTCATCAATCATATTTGGATCGAAATCTTTACCAAAATAAAGTGAAGGTGGCCGTCGAGAATTTGATGGTATTTTTGGCCTTTGTTTTGTTGGATGGAATAATTTCGATGAATTATTATTATTATTATTATTCGAATCGATACCATTTTCATTATTATTATCCACAATATCATCATCCATATTCGATGATATATTATTTGCTGATGATGAAGATTGTTGTTGAAACATTTTTGTTTTGATATTATTTTTATTATTAGCTATAATGACGTTTGCCGATGAGTCTTTATTATCTATTGTCGAATCTTTATCTTTATTATTATTATTATTAATCGGCGTATGATGATTGCGATCAGGTTTTTTGACTCGATTCAATGAAAATTTCGATAATGATGATGATGATGATGATGTTGTTGTTGTTGTTGTTGATTCTTCAACATTTATTGGTTGCGGTGGTGGTTTAATAATTTCAACAAAATTATCCGGAAATAATGCTATACGTCCATTTAATTCACCTTTCCACCAGCCAGCATCTTCATTCTCTTTAGAAATGATTGTAATAATATCACCTTCTTTTATAGTAAGCTCATCATCATTTTGTGCATCATAACGGAACAATACTTTTGCCTGTTCACGTTGTGGTTTTGGCGGTAATTTTGGTGCCATCATTGCAATTCAATATGGATGATTTATGTTCTCACAACAAATCTGTTTGTGTTATTTGATTGAATGAAAAAAAAAAAAAATAAATGATTAGAAACAACAGATTCAAAATAAGATTTACGATTCAATAGTTGAGATTTGTCAATATGAATGCTGTTACTTTAGAAATTAACAAAAAAAAACTCCATCAAAAATGATTGAAAACATTCTGGCAAAGTTTCTGAAATAACAGCAACAAAATTAACATGACAATAATATTAAAGAATGGAATACTTGTTATTTAAATCTTATATATATCGAGACAGCCAAATGGGTGGAAAAAAAAGAAGAAATCTTGAAAATAAAAACAGATCAAGGTCAAATAGTCGTAAAATATGATGATGATGATAATTGATATTGTCGATAAGGTTGTTCCAGCGATTATCACTAGCTCGAAATATTTTTATATTCCACTAATTGACTTTTATTATCAACTATTTTGTTGTTTAAATGTAGTAGAAATCAATTGTTATTTAGGATTAAAATTTATCAGATTGTGATTGACAATTTTTATATATATATAAATGGAAAAAAGGCACTTGTAAATGAAAACGGAATGAGAAAGAAAATACTGATGATGTGGATGGAATTTTCAAATCAATGGAATGTCATCATTATTCATTATCATATTGATTTTTTAATTTGAACTATAATGGTGGGAAAAAAAGAAAGATTAATTGATTGATCAAAAAAAAAAAAACAGAATCAAACCTTTATGATTTCGGTTTGCACAATTTATTCAAGGCACCAATGATGATCAGAGTATAATGACGGATTTGATTGCAGGAATAAAAATGTTAAGAATCATGAATCTGAAATTGAAATAAAAAAATTTATCAATTTTTTTTATTGAAATAAAATAATAATATTTGCAAATATGACGCCCAACAACAACCGGAAAATTTTTTGTAAAGAAAAGAATGGTATGACAGGTGTCTCAATGTTTACAAACACACACACACACACACACAAGCAAACAAAAATATATTAGAGAATCAACACATATGATGACATCAAGTAATTAAAAGAAAATTTTCTTGACAGGAAAAAAAACAGACTGTCAAAATAATGGTGCGAATAATGAAACAACTTGTAAAAATTGTATATTGAGAAGATGAGCAATAATAGATTTATATAATCAAACAAGACACATACATACACACACACACACAAAAAAAACAACCAAATGGATTGCAATATATTTTTTTAAAAGGTTTCTCTTTTTGGATACCATTCATCATCATCATCATCAGACATATCATACACGTAGCATATATATAAATACACACACACAGATAGACACAGTAACAACAACAACAAAAAAAACTCAACAAACATATCGAATAGATAGATACGCCATGAGCTGACATCTGTAATTCTCATTAGGAATAATAACATATACAACCATGGAAAATAATAAATTTGATTTGTATACAATTAATTTTGGAATGAAAATCGGAATAAAATAGAATCAATTTGTGTTATAATAATAATCTGATTTGATTAGCTTGTGTGTGTATGCATATCCGTGATCGATGAGCAATGAAGATGGTCATTGCTCATCGAATGATATATGCTCTAATAGTGTGGTTTGGATATTTGGGTATACACCACATTACATACATTCAGAATGATTGAATAATAACTTGAAAAAAATAAAACCAAACAAACCGAAACCAGAAAAAAAAATTTCCAGAATTTTTCTTTTATATCATATATAATAATAATAGAAACTGGGCGTCAATTACATGGTAAAACCATTCATACACGCGTGCACAATTTTTTTAAAATAAAAATGGTACGTGTCAATTATTGTTGTTGTTGTTGTTGTTGTGCATGATGATGGTTGTTGTAGTTATACAATATCATCATCATCATCATCATAGTGATTGTTTTCTACGTCCGTTTTGTCTTGTTTTTTTTAGCTTCTTGGTTGGGTATTTATTAATGCTCAATTGTTTGATGTATGTGGGTGGGTCAATGCTTTTTTTTCTGTTCAATTGTTCATTGACAGAAGAAAAAAAAAAAAGAATCAAAAAATTCATTTGTGTGTGTGTGTGTTGTGCGTAAAAAAAATGATTTGTTTTTGTTTCGTCTTTTTTTTCACTGTAAATCTATTTTTTTTTGGGGGCTGTTTCGGGTTGCGCACCCGAATGGAAATTGATTCTTTTCATTTTCCATTATTATTATTCGTTACAGTTTCGTTTCGGTTGGTTGAACTGGTTGTTGTTGGTTAGAGTTATTTGACATTATCCATATTGTACTTGTGTGTGTGTGTGTGTGTGTGTTTGTTATATATGGATGAATGACATATTGTTTGTGTCTGTGTGTGTGTAAGTGCATGCCGTAATAATTTCAAAAAACTTTAGAAACAAATGGAAAAAAAGGCAAGCAAGCAAGCAAGAAAAAAACCAGAAAAAACCGGGATATTATTATTCAATATTTCCTCTATACACCGAAACATACATACACACACACACACACACACACACACACACACACACATGCTAAAAAACGTATCAAAACAAAATGGGCAAATGAAAAACGAAAAAAAATTCATTCGATTCGATTATATAATAACCATAATCATCATTTCGAATTGATTACACATGATGACTAAACGAAATAAACGAAACAACACTTGATTGTATGGATGGTTGGTTGATTGGTCGAATGGATGGAATATTAAAAAAAAAAAGATATTTACATCCTGCATTTTTTTTTGGCAATGAGTGAGTGGTTGTGTATGTATGTAATGATTGTTTCCTTTTATATGGCAAAAACAAACAAACGGTTTTTGTTTGGTCATGTAATAATAAAAGAAAAAAAATTGAATTTTTATTTGAAAACAAACAAGCAAAATAATTAAATTTAAACTTACCCAAAGAAAAAAATGGAGGAATGATGATGATGATCAATTGATTGTATTGAATTTTATCAAGCAAAAAAATACCACATTTTTATGAGGGCAAATATATAAAAATTTAAGAATACATAGTAATGAATGGAATGAACAAAAGATGGAATGAAGATTTGAATTTGAACTTCCAAAAAGAAAATCGTTGATGATGAGTGGGGGCAGATTTTTTTCTTTTTTTTTGTTCTATTTTCCTCTTCAAAAATGATAAAATAAAGATGATGATGATGATGATGATGAAAAGAGAAGAATAATAATAATATCACAAACTACGTATATCCAAAAAAAAATCACACAAATTAATGATGATGATGATGACAATAACAAAAAAAAAAAAGATTTTCAATATGATAATGATAAGGTGGATAAGTATAAAACAATCATCATCGATGATAATATTGATTTTGATTGATCACAGAGTGATCATTGGTTTATTCTTTTCTTTTGTTTTTTTTTCGTCGTTGTTGTTGTTGTTGTTGTTGTTTTGTTGTTGAAAAAATAAATGATAAGTTGATGATACCTGATATTTAAAGAAAGAATAAAAAAAAAGAAAAGAAAAGAAAATCAAAAATCCGTTTGATAAAAAAAAAGTTTTGAATATATGATACACACACACACAGATAGAGAGACAAATAGACACAAAATTATGTCCAATGCAATAACCATATGAGTGATTGATTGATTGATTGATTGTTAACCGGATTTCTTTTCAAATCCTGTTTGTGATCAAATAATAATAATAATAATAATAAAATTGAAAAATCTGTATCATTTTTGTTTGTTTATTTTTGCTTGTTACAGCAATAATAATTGCAATATATATAAAAACACTCAACAATCAATGAAATGAAATGAAATGGTCAGTTTAAAAAAAAAAAAATTTCATTCATCACTTGAATCTACAACAAAATTTGAAAATGGCATCATTAAGATGATGATGATGGCTTATTGTCTGCGTGTATGTTGATGGTTAGAACGAGTTCATCTGATTAATCTGATTTGATGATGATTATGATGATGACAAAAATATCCTGAAAACACATATAAACAGATTATTACAAAAAAAAAAAAAATTGTGGATACCAAATACTGTTTGTCATATCTAGATCAAAATCTTTTTTTTTTGATGATGATGATTTTTTTCACGATAAACAAGACTCATTAAGATGTTTTTTTTAAAATTTCTTTGGTGATCTAGGTCTTTGGATTTTTTTGTTCCCCACTCAATGCTCGATAATATGAGGATATTAATAAATTAAATTTTTTTTTCTCTAACAACAAAACCAGAAAAAAAATTGAAACTTTGAATCTGAAAATCATTTAGAATGGTAAACACAGACACACACACACACATATGAAGAATACAATTAAAAAAAACCACATACGGAAAATATCGGATATTTGATTCGGGTAGAGACACTACCCGAATTCTTAAGAAAAATGAACAAGTGAGCAATAAGAGAGAAAAGGAAAACAAAACACTTTAACAAGCAAAAAAACTAGAACTGGAACTAGATCGAAAGAAGAACTGAAAAGCAACGAATTCAGCAAACTAAAAAAAAAAAAAAAAAAAAAGAGAAAATAAACCATTTAATCATGATAATCATTCAAACAATAATTAGAAACGTTCAATCTTCAAAAGATCCGATAATAATTTTTTGTTTTTTTTTTGGTTACTTTTTTTATGCCCCATTCAAAACAGATATTTACCTTGAGTTTTTGTCGATTTTGATGTTGTTGTTGTTGTTGTTATGATTATTGTTGATGAAAATTTCATCCTCGTGGGAGAGAGAGAGAGATGAAAAAAAATGTCATTTCACACATTAACCATTCATCATCATCAACATTGGATTGGATATATATTTATTGGGTATCGAGATATGGTATGTTTGGTATGTATGTATGTATGTGTGGGTATGTGTTGATGATGGCGACGTTTTTTTCTTCTTCTTCTTCGTCAAGAGTTCTTCTTCAAATCAAAAATAACCTTACAATATTCATTTTGTACATATAATATATTCAATTCATGGATCGCCTTTTTTTTCTCTCTCTTTCTCTTTCACTCTATGTTGTTTTTTATGTTCATTCTTTCTTTTCTGTTATTTGATGGTTGTTGTTGTTGTTGTTGTTGTTCAAGTTTTTTCTTCTTCATTTTTTTTTCATCTTGTTTTCATTCCATTTTCGGTTTGTTGTTGGTCCATTGTTGTTCATGCTGCGTTTGTTGTTTGTTGTTGGTCGGTTGGTGGTAGTGGTGGTGGTTATTAGTTTTTGTTTGTGCTTCTACTCCGGCTACTGGCATCAATTCCAAACATTTATTTTTATTTTTTGCAAAAAAAAGAAACATTCGACTCGATGATCCTGTTTTGCTACTTCTACTTTCTTTCTTTATAACTTTTTCTATTCTTTTTACAAGCGCAGTTATAATAGTCAATATATTAATGCTTCTACCTAAATATATTTTGTTGACCATATAAAATGATGATAATTGTTGATAATGGTATATGTTGTTGGAAACACAGAAAGAGAGAGAGAGAGATCGGTATATATTATCTCTTGTCAAGGATATTGTTGTTGTTGTTGTTGTCGTTGTTGTCTTGGATGTATGATGATATATCCAAGACAACAATCAAGCTCGATTTTTACTCATCATCATCATTGAAGCTTGCGTATATTTGCGTTTTGATTATTAATCAGAAAAAAAAATACCGCGCCCCTTAGTAGTAAATAACAACATTATTGTCGTAATATATGTATGGAATATATTAATTTGGAATTTTTATTATTATCGATTGATATAGCTATTATATTTACAAAATATTGATATTTAAAAAAAAAATGCAACAAGTATTTTCAAAATTGTATATTTACAAAAAAAAAATTTCTATCATAATCCATTCATAAACAATGTAATATTTGTTGAATCACACACATGCATGTGTCGTATACAATAATTTGCCATTTCATAACAATTTTTTACTTTAATTATTGAACACTAGATGGCAATATTGTTTTTGAATGTTGAATAAAGAATAAAGAATCTTTAGTTTCTCATTTTTTGCCTATCCTGTGTTATTGTGTTGTCACTGTTGTTGTCATCATCGTTTGTTGTTGTTTGTTTGTTTGTTTGTTGTTCAAAAGCCTGAGTTCATTCGCATTCATTTCGTGCTTGTTGTTTTTATTTATTTGGTCATTCATCAATTCTATTTTATCTTTGCTTTGTCAAGAATTTCTTTTCATTCTCTCTCTCTCTTTATCTTTCCATTTTCATTCTGTAAAATAAACGGAATCAACAAAACAAAAAACAATTATTTTCAACAACAATTTTCTGCAAATCATATATATATAAATATAAATGGCCATGACGATCCTGATCATTTATTCAACCATATTATATATATATAATTTAATTGTATTTCATTAATTCAATCACCAACAACAACAACAACAACAATGATGATGATGACGACGATGATAGCGACAATCGTATGTCAGCAACAATTATAATTGATAATAATGATGATGATGATGATTTAAAATGAATGAAACGAAAAAAACCTTGTCTACCAAATTTTGAAGATGTTCGTCAATACCACAAACAACTATCATCATCATCATCATCATCATCATCATCATCATCAACAACAACAATAATGATAATGAAAATTCCTATTTTGGAAATATAAAAATGCTACCATATGTTTAAAGGCAAAAATTTCAATTTCATTCAAGAATTATTAGAATCCGTAAGTTTTTTTTTTAATTCATTTTTCTTTTCACGTACATAGTATAGTTCACATCATCATCAAACGAAATGATTCTATTAGTTTTTTTTCCTAAAAAAAATATCATGCGATGCTGTGTTATTTTATCCTTCATGTTTTTTTTTTTTTTTTTTTGATAGAAAGTTGTGGTGGATCATCCTAATGACACTATCCTTTAAAAAGTATGGTATGTGTTATTCAATATTGGTTAACTTTCTTGCTTGCTTGCTGGCTGGGTGACTCACACACATAAATATATATATACATGTATAATAATATACAGAAAAAGATAGAAGATAGAAACAGAGCTAGAGTATATACGAAATGATGATGATGATGATGATGATGAAAGAAAGAAAGAGATACTTAATTTTTCTCAAAAAGAAAATGTTTTCGAGTTTGTTATTGTATGCTTCAATGTCTTTTTTTTTCTCATTCATTCATTCAATTGCCATGTAAGAAAACTTTGCTTCTCCATTTCGATGCACAATATATATAGTTTTTTCTCTGTATGATGTTGTCTGTCTGTATGATTTTTTTTTGCCTGCTGGTTCCATTTGTTTCAACAACAACAACAACAACAAAAAAAACATTCAATTGCTGCATTACTATGGTCCAATCGGGAACATATAAATCATTACAATGAATGAATTGCGCCCATTTTCACCATTAACTACTATCTACTATTTGACGCAATAGTGTTGAAATTTCTTGTTGTTTTTTTCTTGTGTTTCATTAATACTGCTGTTGTTGCTGTTGCTGCTGCTGATTCTTTTTTTTAATAGTTATTTTCAATGTTTGTTACATTGTAAATCATGGATCATCCATATGGATGATTCTTCTGTATTTGTTGTTTTGTGTTGTTTTTCTGCACTTAAATGAGCCGACAATATATATCGATGACATCCTTTTGGTATGTTTGTTTTTGTTTTTCTTATACGTTTATTGATCGATTGATTGATTGATTGATTGATAATCATCAGATCAATGTAAAAAATTGATGATGAAAAATCATTTTTGTTTTTGTTTTGTTTACCATCCATCATAAAGAATTTGTCATCATAAGATTATTATTATTATCAAACTGATTATAGTCAAGATGATTCACTGAGTGTTTTTGTTGGCTAGAAAAAAAGATTTTGATTAAATTCTATTTATTTTAGTGTAAATACCTATTACACTAAACAACCACTACTACTAAAACTCTGGATCTATCTGATTTCCGTGTTTATACACATTTGTTTTTGGTTTTTGTATTTTTCAATCTATAATTTCAAAGTTCAATCATTATCATCAATCAATCAATACACAATACATACATTTATTACATTTATATTCTAGTTTTTTTAAAATATATCTTGTTGATTGTTTGAACATTCGAAATCATCATCATCATCATCACATTTATATATCCGTGTATATCAATGTTGATTTTGTTTTTTTGTTCTGCTATATTTATATATTTGATTGTGTGTGTGTGTGTGTGTGTGTGTGTGTGTGTGTGTGTGTACACTGTATACAGTATGTTTACCCAGAATATTATATATATATTGTTAAAGTGATAGTGAATATAGAGATAGTAGGCAGCGAAAAAAAAAACAAAAACAAAACAAAACATAGGCAACGAAATGAAATGAAATGAAAAAAATTCATTCGAGGACATCGCCCTTGTCGCATTTGCTATGATAATAATGATAACGATAATGATCATCATCATCATCATCATCATCAGCAACGACAATATCATTCAACACATATCAAAACATTGACAAACAATCTTTCTCTTTCTATCCAGTTTTATTATTATTATTATTATTATTTCATGTTTTGATGATTTAAAACCTAATGAATGAATGAATGAAAGAGATTTATTTTTTTTTGTTTTTTTTATGTTGACATTGATGATTTTTTTTTTGGTCTACCCAATCAGTAAGTGAGAACAGTATGCACCAACACACGAGACAATACCAGACTGAATAACAAACTGGTAGCATTATTCATTGATCATCATCATCATCATCATAATCATAAGCAATAAAAAAAAGCCAAAACAACAATAATTGTGATTTGTTTCCGTTTTTTTTCGATGATGATGATGAATCCGAATATTTTCAAACTTCATTTATGTGCTGATGATGAATCTATATACATAAAAAATGTGAATACAGAGTATATGAAAAAACATTACCCGAATGAAGATAATGATTATACACAACTCACATGATGTTTATCTGAAATATTTGGTTTTCTTTTTTTTTTTTTTTTGGTCAATCATTCCATCCGAAATGTTAATGGTGAAACTTGTAAATAAATTTGTGTGTGTGTGTGTGTGTGTGTGTGTGTGTGTGTGTGTGTGTGTGTGTGTGTGTGTGTGTGTCAATCTATCAATGGTAATAATATTTGAACAATTTTGGATCATTGAAAATATTTTTATCATCATCATCATCATCAGTACCGTGTGTTGAATATTTTTTTTTCTTATTTTGTTGTCAGATGATGAGCAACAACAATATATTAAATATATAATGAGAATGTGAAACAAACTAACCTAAACATAACGGACCATTAACATTATGATAATGATATTATCATCATCATCATCATTATCATTTGTCCAGGTATATATTTATAATCATTCACATAATTTGAATGGTTGATGATTGTGAACAAATGTGAATTGAGAAAATTTTTTTTATGGTTCCATTTGTGGCAGTATGTGTTTAAATTTTTCTGCATTCAAATGAAATAATAACAGTTTTTTTCCTTCATTTCATTCATTCATTTATTTTATTATTAAAACGATGTAAATATACACATTTTGGCTATTTGCTATTTTGAATTTTTTTTTTTTTTTTTTTGGTTTTGGTTTTACATGTACCGAGAAATAACGAGAGAGAGAGAGAGAGAGTGAATGAATGGATATTTTTTTTGCATTCATTAACTACGATTCGCTTGATGTGACAATCAATCGACTATGATTTGGTAATTTTGTTGTTGTTGTCGTCGTTGTTGTTGTTGTTGTTTTGTTTTGTTGTCACCAAATAGAAAAGACAATAACTTTGATCCAATAAGTTTGGTAGGTGTGTGTGTGTGTGTGTGTGTATGTTTTAATCATCTCGAACTGGTTTTTCTTCTTTTATCGTTGATGAAAATTATTATTGATTAATAATTAATCTGATAGAAAAGAAAGAAAAAAAAATTTATATTGAAATTATACATTGCATCAACCATTCATAGAGATTAAATTACCATCCTTTTTTTCAATTTGTGAGAACAGGTGAGAGAGAGAGAGAATGAGAAAGACAGATAGATTTTTCCATCAACAATTGGACGTCTTTTTTTCTCTTTTTTTTTGCTGATTATTTTGATTTCGAATGTTTTTTTTTGCACATATATATTTGACATTTTCTCGTCAACTCGAAAGATAAATTGGAACACGAATTCGATATTAGTCGAAGGAGAGAAATAGAGAGAGAGAAAAAAAAGCGACAAACAAAAAAAAATGAATACTTACCACTGTTGTGTGAATTGATCATCATCAAACAGTGGCAAACAAAATCTTATTATGCAAAAAATTTGAAAGAAAAAGAAATCTCTCAAATCTAATCACAATCACAATGTTGTCATGAAACGGTTTTTGTTTTGCATGTTGCTGTTGTTGATACACGTTTTATGCAATCCTTTAGAGTCTATTTATTTTCTTTCTTTTACTTTCATTTTTTTCTGCATTGAGAAACAATATATATAAAAAAAAATTACGATGACAACAACAATTACAACAAAGTGTGTGAGTAAGTGAGCAAAAGTGTAATTGTCTCTATCATTACATTTCATCCGAAATCGATTCATTATATATTTTTTTTTCTTCTCATCCATTCCAAAATACATGATTATCATCACGAATTTTCACATTATATTCGACACTATTTATCGGTCGAAAATTGAATTTTTTTTCGCCTCTTCTTTCTCTATCTCACTATTTTTGGTCATTCAATATATTTGTTCAAAATTTTAGTTGGAAAAAAATGGACATAAAAAAAGTACACCTGTATTTGAATTTTTTTTTTGTGTATGTGTATGTGTGTTTGTTTGTTTTCACACAATAAACATATAATAAAATAAAATGTTAAACACAAGTGTAAAGGCATTTCAAATTTTAAATCAAAAAAATGGTTGATGGTTGATTTTTTCTGTTTTTTTTGTTTTGTTTTGTTTTTTGCAATTTAGCATGTTCACAAATCAGCAACAATCATTTTTTTGGCAGTGATTTTTTTTTCACTCCCCCCTCCCATGAACAACAACAACAACAATAACAATGTCACCGCAGATATTGAATGTAAAACGGCCATTATTGGCAACTACAACTAATGTATCGACAACTACAACAACAAAAACAACAAGACGATCATTACAATCACAACCACAATCACTTCATAATCATAATCAAAATCAATTCAACAGTATAGAAATGACAGATCATCAAAATGAAGGATCATCGACGCCACCACCACCACCACCATCATCATCATCACCTAACACCTCTTCAACATCATCAACAATAATGGTAACATCATTACCAGCATTATCAATGCAAAAATCAACAACAACAACATCGACAACAAAAACTATGGTAAAAAAACGATCCAAGTCAGCATTCCGTTGTCGATTCTTTGTAAATGGTGATCGTCATTTTATTGGCATTTATTATGTTATTAATATTGATCGTTTACGTACACTTGATTCATTATGTCGTGAATTATCAAGAATTCTGGTTAATGTGGTAAGTGTTTTGTTTTGTTTTTTTTTGGAACATTTTTTTTCTAATCTAATTCTATTCCACAATGATATTGATGACCGTGCTAGTGTATCACATATATATTCACATTTATCAATCTTGATTCATTTTATTATTATTTCCATTCTTTAAATGGTTATGGTATTTTTTTTTAGCCAGCATATAACCTGATAGCGTAGGTGGTCGAACAGCTTTTTTTTATTGATAATTACAATTTTTAATGCATATCTAAATCAAAATTGAATTCAATAATGATGATGAACATCACCATTACATCTCCCTTATTTGTCGATTTTTTTTTCTTCAATTCTTAGATAGTGTTTTTGTTTCCAGTGTAATTTATTAATTTGTCATTCATACAATTATTCTGATTTGTTTCCTTCTTTATCCACCCTCTTATATCCGACTTTTTGAATTGAATGCTTGTTTATTTCTACCCACCATTCATTTTATTCATTGTTTTTGTTTTTGTTTCTGTTTCTGTTTTTTTTTCGTATATTTCAATACACATTGGACGCCTCTTCATTTACGGTTTTTTTTACGACCACGAAACAACTAACACCATCATTGGTCATCATCATCATTCTTGAAACGATGATCGACGACACAACCACAATGATGATTGGCAATAATAGAAAACCTTACCATCTGGTGTACGAATCATATTCAATTGTAATGATGGAATGAAAATTAATTCTATTCAACAATTTCGTCATAATGAAAATTATTGTTGCTCATCAAATGAACATTTTATACGTTTAGATTATATTACAATTGCTGATGGAAATAATTCATTTTCAATAAATGATCGACAATCAACATCACCTGAACCGAAAAATTTACTAATAATAAATAATTCAATGACAACTACGGCAGCTAAGCAACAACAACAACAACAACAGCAACAGCAACAAAAACAACAACAACAATCACGAACACCTTTAGCTAAACGCCGTGTCGATAGTGGTGGAAATATTTCCGGTAATAATAATAATAATAATAATAATACAACAATGATGACAACCTCATCGACAGCATCATCAACACAAACATTATCCACATCAACAACAACAATGACAACAACAACAATGTCTTCAAATTCATTACAATATTGTGCATTTAGGCCAAAATTGGTCGCCTTATTACGTGGATCATGTCGTGCTGTACCATCAATGCGGCCATCACGACGTGTATTTCGTTTTTTGTTCAATCATCGTATTGCACAAAATTATGAACAATTGTTAAATGAAATATCGAAATCGGTCAAATTGAATGTTGGTGCCGTACATCGTATATATGGTCTTTCATCATCGAAAAAGGTTTCTTTTTTTATTTTTATTACTTCTAAAATAATAAAAATGTTTTTTTTGTTGTTGTTATTGTAGATAACCTGTTTGAATGATCTTTATGATGATGAATATGTCTATCTGGTATATGGCCGTGCGGAAAAATGCAATATTAACGATTTTTTGCTCGACGAATATGGTATATATTTGACATTTTTTTTTTTGACAAAAAAAACGAAATTAACTCTCTTCTCACGATTTTTTTTCTTTTTGTTTATTTTCATTGATACATACATATAGAACAACGAGAAATCTGTTCAATTGTTGGCGTTAGTTATCTAACATCATATTATGAAAACATTAATAATCATAGTCTTAATTTGAATAATATCAATATCCATAATAATAATAATGGTAAATCAAAATTACCACCACTGCCACCGTTATCATTATCAGCAAAGATGGCTGCAATGACAAAAAATCGTAAAGTTGTCCGATATTGTGATGATATTAATAATAATAATGATAATAATAATAATAATGTTTCAATCAACAATAATCGTCGACGTTTTCAATCGAAAAAATTCAATACAACAACTCGTAGCAATCGTAATCGTAATAATAATGCTCGAAATAATATTGGCCATACAAAACAATCTAAAAATTCAGATTGTTGCAATAATAATAATAATAATGATGACGATGATGATGATGATGATAATGACATTAAAGCATATTCTTTACCAAGAAATTTTTGCATCCACAATGATGATGATGACAGAAACAACAACAATAATAATAACAATAACAAATGTAAAAATAATATGAAAAATTTTAATCATCATCATCCAAATTCTTGTCATTCATTATCATTAGATAATAATGATTTGATTGATTCGGATGGTGATGATGATGATGATAATAATAAAGAGAATAATATTGAACTATTGAATATGAATGAACGTACACCAACTAATGGCCATCATCATCATAATCAACATAAATTTGATGATCAAGATGAAGAATCAGAAAATTATAATTGTAATTCAATAACAATGCTCACATCGATCGATGATGATTATGATAATGATTATGCAGTTATTATTGCTGACAATAATTATAATGATGATGATGAATATCAGCAAAAACGAAAATTGCCATTGGAAAATGAAAATATTGGCTCAATATCATCATCATCATATGATCAAAATTCCAATCGTTCAAATGGTAGAGATCAAAATATGATAATTTCTAATACAAATGGTACGAAAATTGATGATCAATCAGGTCGTTCATATTCTAGTTCGAATTCAAGTCTAGTCTTTGTTGATAATAATCAAAAACATCATGGATCTAATCAACATCATCATCATCATCATCAAATTAATCAACAATCAATGAAGCCAAATACAAATCAATCAATTTCCAATTGTGATTATAGATCATCCTCTATGACAACGTCAACATCAACTACATCGACCAATACAAGCCAAAATCAAGGAATTTTTATTCAAAGTAATGGCAGCAGTACACCTGGTGGTGCATCATCCATAAGTTGTTCGGAGGATTTTTCTTTCACATCGATAGATGTAAATAATTCCAACACATTGAATAATGATGAACAACAAAACTTTTATTCTGATAATGATGATGATGATGAATCAGTATCGATTGATGATGGACAATCGATTGTTAAATCTAATAACAACAATCTTTCTAAATCTCAACAACAAAATAGCAACGATTCTGATTCTGATCTATCATCAACATCTTCATTTTCTAGTCTTTCACGTGTAATTCCAGCTGTTCAACAGTGCCAACGATCTGTTAACATTAGCAAAAACGATGATAAAATTTCAAAACCAAAGGCAGCGAATCCAAAACTTAAATCACCGGTAACATCACTATCTACGACGAATACCAAAACAAATTCCATAAATCTTACAAAAGCAGCTAATATCAAACAACGAGCAGCTAATCGAATGGCCGTTTTACCCAGAAATCAAATGGTCACTGCAGCAAAGAATACGAAAGTGGGCAGCAAATCATCGAATGTAAATGTTTCTACACAAGCTTCACAAAACCATAATCGTAGTCCAAGTCATCGTATTGGTTCGGGAAGTCGAAATTCGACCGGATCACAGCCAAACACGCCAGTTAAAAAGAAAATACCAGCCGGATATCAATCTCAACAGCCACAACAACAACGTCGTGCACCAGTTCTAACCACAATACCGGCTGCAACAAAATTTCAGCCAAAAAAAGAAGTTGATGAAATATATTTTGTCGACAAATCTATTGGTGATGGTAAATTTGGTGTCGTATACACTTGTATTCATCGCGAAACAAGGCAAAGTTTTGCATTGAAAGTAGTCAATAAATATACTATGCAGCAAGTTTTTTCATTACCAAAAACGTCTTCATCATCATCATCTGGTCATAATAATTACACGGATAAATCAAATGATCCTGCCAATGCTGAAGTAGCAATTCTTAGTCGTGTAAACCATCCGAATATTGTTCGACTTTATGATCATTTCAATTATGTTGATCAATGTTATTTAGTACTTGAATTACTTCAGGTTTGAATTAATTATTTATATCAAATGATCTTATCACTAAAAATTTTCTGTTTTTGTTTTCATTACATCTAATTTAGGGCGGCGATCTTTTCGATGCCATTACTGTTGCATCTCGTTATACGGAAGCTGAATCAGCATTAATGATTAGCGATCTTTTGAATGCTTTGTACTATCTACATCAAATGAACATTGTTCATCGTGATATAAAACTAGAGAATTTGCTAGTTTCCTATGTGCCAATACCATTGAATGATAATAATAGTCCTAATAATGATGAAACAATCAATAATCGAAATCAACAACGGCAATATCGTCGTATGATTAAATTGGCGGATTTTGGACTTGCCGTCGAAGTTGAACCAGGTGAAAAATTATACACCGTTTGTGGTACGCCTACATATGTTGCACCGGAAATTTTATTAGAAATTGGTTATTCATTTCCTGTGGATATTTGGGCTGCCGGTGTTATACTATACATACTTCTATCAGGTCAACCACCATTTGCGAATGAAGAAAATGATCAAGTTCAATTGTTTGATCAGATAATATCCGGAAATTTTGATCTTATTGGACCACAATGGCGACATATATCCGCTTCAGCTAAATGTATGATACATTCAATGTTGGTTGTTACACAAACAAAACGTATTACTGCTCAACAAATTTTGAATCATCGATGGCTTTTACAACATACTAGTAATAGTAATAATCAATCAATCAAATCAAAATCATCTGCCGATCAGCTAGCCAATGATTATCTGAATTTATCATGAATTTAATTTTCTCTTTTTTTATGAAATTGAAATTTTTTATGTTTTGCTTTTCCTTCTTGATTATAATGAATTTTCGTGATTTTTTTGTTTGTTTCAATTCTTGATTGACGATCATATATCAATCAAATAAACCAATATCGAAACGAAACAAATTTCAATAAATAAATGAAAAAAAAAAAAATTAAATTGAATCCAAATTTTGGATTTTATTCTCTCCATTTAATTTATTTTTTTAGCTTTTTCAACAATTTCTAAATGTTTTTTTTTGTACAATTCGAACAATTATTATCGATTTCATTGATCATGATTGAATTCATATAACATGGTATTACATATATTCTGTATTATAAATAATCAACAATTTGTCTGTCTGTAAATGGACATATAAGCATTATAAGTGATGAAATATTTTCCATTTTTTTTTGCACATAAATATGATGATGATTGATTGACATTGGGCAAAAAAAATTAATAAAAAATAGTGGTGTGTGGATGTGACATTGTGTTTGTGTAGGTGTGTATACAGTACATTTGTGTCAGTTTTTTTTTCATGTTTGTTTGTTTGTTTTCAGGCAACTAATCTTTATATTCATATTTATTTATTTATATTTAGTTTATAATTTCAACTTTTTTTTCACTAAAAAATTGAATTGAATCTGTTTTCATTTTCTTTTTTTTTTTTTTTTGCTTTGCTCTGTGGACAATCGGACAATATCTGACTTTGTTTTTAATGAAGAATAACGTTCAAAATGATTGATAAAAATATATTATGAAACAATAATAAAAATAATAATGATGATCCAATATTGATAATGATAACAGATTGTCGTTCTGATGATGATGACAATGTTTTCATTGTTTTGATCGTTTTTGATTTTTGATGATTTTCTATCAAGAAGAAGAAGAAAAAAACAGAATTTCAGTGTAAAAGAATTAATATAAAAAAAAATAAATTTAGAATTTTGTACCATTTATATTTTCATTCTGTTGTTGATGATTGTTGTCCATTGATGATGATGATGATGATGATATAATGATGGCGATGATGATGACGATGATGATGATGATGGTGAATAACGAAATTCGTAGTTTGCTTTGAAACCAGTACCATCAAAACGTCCATTAGATTTGAATGTAACACGAAAAAAATCACCATCCGATTCAATTGATTTTGGATGTTTTAGGCCACAATGTCTAAATACACGACGATCGGCCGTATATACGTTTGAGAATTCAACATAATCACTTGCCGTTTCCAATGTACATCTGTGGCCAAGGTAGGAATAACCAAAAAAAAAACATTCGAAAAAAACGATTAGATTTTAATTTAAAAATTCCTGCACAAATGGTACATACGGTGTAACGCCTTCAACATCAAAATGTACAAATTGTATGTAGACTTTTTCGGTTATATTTCCATAGAAAAAATAATGACATTCGGTATCTTTTGGATACAATCCTAGTGTACATACATTTAAAAGAAGAAAAATTATTCTTTTATCATCAATTTAATCAGAAAAAAAATCGAGAAATAAACATCCGTTATCAATTTCTCGAAACAAGTACAAACAATCAATTAGAATGGCAATGATTTTCACATTGTACACATACCAGGATAATTTGGCGATGTAAAATGACCACGTTTTGTTTTGGTTGAATTGTAAACGAAACCGCATACTATTATGATCCAAATTGAAGGAACAAAAAAAAACAAAATGATAATTGAATCGATTTATAATGGACATTATGATATCATTACCTGATTTAGAATCTTGATGTCCAGTTTCAATGCCAAAATCTTTGTTTGTTTGTTGAAAAAAATGAGCAAAAAATGAGAAAACAAATTTTAAAATCAAACACAGTCAATATAGTCGCAGTAGGCAAAAGTTAAAATTTTTATTTCACGCTAGAATAACTGAAATTTTGATTCAGAATAAAAAAAAAAAATAATAAAGAATGTCCTGATGGTAATGAGTGGGAAAAAAATGCAATCAAATGAAAATGATCACAAAAGAAAAAGAATGAGAAAAATTTCAAATTTTTTTTCACTTCATTCATTCGCTTATCTTGTCTTAGAAATGAACATCAACAACAACACCGACAACACCACTGGACGACAAAATGAACCACTTTCTTTTTTCCTTTCCTTTTTTTTCTGTTACATCCAATGAAACATAATCTCGTGTATCCGTTCAACCAGAAAAAAAAGCAAGCAAATTACATCTCATGTAACTTAGTGTGTGTTCGAGTGTCTGTATTTCAAAGTAAAAATACAACGAAAAAAAAAAAAAAATAAAATAACACGACAACCGTCTTTTCAATATAAAAAGGCTTTAGAATATCATGAATTTTGCACTTGTGTTATTATTATTATTATAAACCAACTATGGATCGGATCTTTTGTAAAGAAAAAAATTTTTTTTTTTCATAAAATTTAAAATAAACGAAAAAACTTTGTGAATACTTGTGTGTGAAATAACAACAAGCTAAATTCATGATGAACGAACTAAATGAATGAATGAATGAAAAAAAATCCTCTCATCAATTTATATAAACACACACACACAGTATTACATAAGAATTTTGTTCGGAAAAAATTCTTAAAAGCGTGAAAAAAAATAAGTGTAGTAAAAAATGAATTAAACGGATACCACCATACAATGATGCTGTCGTTGATGATGATGATGATGATGATGGTGGTGGTGGTGGTATAAATTGTCCTTAGAAATAGTGAAAAGAATGAATAAAAAAAATTGATTCAAAGCTAATGCGGATTTTAAAGTTTTTTTTTCATTTCATTCAAATTTCACCCGTTATTTTTGCTTTCGTTACACACATACACAAACTTATCCTACCCATCATCATTATCATCGTGTTTAGTGCCCTTTTCTTTCATAAATTCAAAAGAAATTACAATATAATTGATTAGAATATTAACACTTTAGAGTTCAATTTTTCATTTTTTTCTAAATTTTCCAAACAATATTGTACAGCAATACTTTTTTCATCATCATCATCATCATCATTATCATCGTAAATATTAAAATTGGCCATTTATCATTTCAAAAGTTTTTTTCCCAAAACATTTAATAATAATCAGAAATTGTTGATATATATTGAACTTTGAAAACAAAAAATTGAAATTCTGGTTTCTTTTTTTTTGAAAAAAAACACAGGTAATTTATCATACCATCTATATAGAGACAAGTTGATCTTTTTTGAATATATTCAATTTAGCTATAAAATTTAACAAACTACACAAACTTACTTGTTACAAAACGAAATGATGCTTTAAATCCTTTTGAATGATAACGATTATATTGTCGTCCATGTTGATCTTTATTATTTTGATTAGCCAAAGAATTTTTTACCATTTTTTGTCGATTATTATTATCTTTTTGGCCATTTGATTCATCATCATTATCATCATCATCATCCATACTATTGACATAATCAACATTATCATTGGTTTCATCATCAGTCATTTTATTCGATTTATTATCATTAATTTTTTGTCGTTTACGTTTCTTTCGTTTTTTACGATTTTTTCTTTGCATATTCATTTGATCATCATCATCATCATCATCGTTGTCATCATTGTCATCATAATCATGATTATCGTTAGATGAATCATATGGATTATCCTGTATCATTGAATCTAAAAATTGATTATTATGTTGTAATGATGAATGTGGATAATTAATTTTTTTATAAAATCTTCTATACGGTTGTGCATCATGATCTAATGATTTAAATTCAAGTGTTAATCTATGTCCATTTGACATGATACGTGGTGGTAATTCTTGTCCACAAAAATCATCGATCCATTCTTTTTGGCCATTTGTTACAATAAAGGCAGTTAGACTGTCGGATATTTCACAACTAAAATAAGATTTTTAAAAAAAATAAATAAAAAGAGAATGACAAAATTAACAAGTTTATTTTGGATAAATTTGTAATTGTTGATTTCAATAACAGTTTCATTCCATTTATAATGTTAATTATATTGTTGATGATCAATAATTATCATATCACCAATGTCAATAAAATGATTATGATTCTGTGAAATTTATTCCATTTTAATTACAGGTTTTTTTCTTCTTTTGTGAACATAATTACACTAGAATGCTGGAATTATTCAAGATATCTGAAACCGTGAATATTTTTCTCAAATTTCCTAAACACACACACACACAAACACAAATATTCTTTCAATGAAATTTTCGATTTGGACGAAACAAATAGAAAAAAATATACAAAAAAAACTTGATTCTAATATATCAGTTTTTGTTGTTGAAATCATCATTCTTGAGATTTTTTTTTCCTAGTTGTTCAAAAAAAAAGAAAAATAAAAATGAAAATTTTGTTTGCGCGCGGATGGATTTCGACCGATAAGAAGTGAATGGATCCGATCTACAATAAATGAATGAATGAACATTCGTTTTTTACTTTGTTATTTCTTTTTTTTGGGGATTTTTTTTCCGTTTATTGTTGCAATGTTTGTTTGAACACAGAATATTCTATTAATTCACATTTTGTATGTGTGTGTGTGTGTGTGTGTGTGACTTATGAGCTGTGTAAGCAGATAGACAAATATTAATATAAACCAAAGAAATAATGTTTGTATTTTAGGATTTAATATTACAACAAAGAATTTAAGAGAAAGTTTGCAAAAAAAAATAACGGGAATTAATCGGCTAAGAGAGAGTGTGTGTGTGTGTGGAAGAGAAAAAAAGGCCAAACCAATCACTTTAATATCGGTATCATCATCATAATAATAATGATGATGGTAATGATGACAACAGCTAAAATCGTATCGAAGGATTAAATAGAAAAGAAATGATGATGATGATGATGATGGTATATGATCTTCAATGGAAAAAATTCTATAACAACAAAAATTCTGTTTCAAAATAATAAATATAAAGTAGAATAAAAAAAATCATACAATGTTCACCAAAAAAAAAAATACAAATACAAAAGAAAAAGAATAAATTTTTCTGCTGATCAAACTTGAATGAAATAAAAATCATTACTATCGAAAACGATTCAGCCATCGATTTTAATCATTTTTTTTGTTTGTTTGTTTGCTAATTCAAATTTACAAACAATATGTTTGTGGTTTGTACACTGTTCTAGGTGTGTGTGTGTGTGTGTGTGTGTGTGTGTGTGTGTGTATGAATGAAAATTATTGATTCGATAACACATTGATTGTAACAATTATTTGAATTAAAAATAACGACGACGACGACGACATAAAGCTAACAAAATTAACAACAATAATTGCGGAAAATGTTTAGCTTTTGACGCAAAACGAACAAGACGCCCAAGGAGGAACTCGGAAAAAAATTTGACCGAGTTTGCAAAATTGGCCAAGTCCATTACAAATATCACGAATCTTCATGATAACTTGGAGTTCACGGACATAGCAGAAATCACGGCACGAAAGAATGAACTTCAGAAAAGAATCGAACAGCTCCAGAACCAAGTGATGGAGACTTATAAAAAGTATAAGAATGTAAGGATGTACAATTTAAGGTTGCCAACGTGGAAGGTTTTTGAGAATGATACTTGGTAACAAGTATTTGCTGATCTAAACAGAGTAGCAGATTTAACAGGTGATAACAACATCATACGATTTGTGAAATGATGAATCTCAGCAAAATAATGTGTACATCGCGAACTCAGCAATATTTCCTAAAATGATAACGTACGAGACAATCCGTATATAACCCTGATGAATTCATCTAAAAATCAGAGGAGAGGATCCAACAGAGAATATCATCAGAAGAGACGAGAGGATACCACATCAGACGAGACGCTATCAACAGAGGACCAATATCAATAGAGGAGAAGCCGCAGTCATCAGAAGTTACCAGAAGTCAACAGATGTTCATCGATGTTATTATTATTGTGAATAAAGAAATAATTATTCAACAAACGTTCTGGCCTAGAAGAGAGGTTATGACATTTAGTCGTAATATTATAAGCCAGCAAGATAGGGTAGGAGGAATGGGTAACTACGGATCATCCAAAAAATATCTACATATTGCAATCGATTCATTTACCAGATTTGATTGGATTGTAACATCGAAGACACAGACGGGAAAAGATTTTGTGAATTTAATTAATAAAGTGATAACATTACGGAAACCAAAATTGGTAGTGGCAGATCAGTATACTGGAATCAAAAGTACGGAATTTCGACAATTCCTAGAAAATAAAGATATCAAATTAATGTTCACACCAAAAAATCATCCAGAAAGCAATGGTATGGTAGAAAGAGTAAACCAAACTCTTTGTGCTAGAATACGACAACGTATATTGGAAACACCAAAAGAGAGACGACAAATCTCTTGGACAACGATTGCAACAAATTGTGTAGAAGAATACAACAAAACAATTCATAGCACGACGAAATTTCCTCCGATATATTTATTAACTGGTGAAGATCATGATAAGTTAATAAGAGGAAATAAATTGGAAGAAAACAGGAAAATTGCATTTCAAAATTCTTGTAAAAATCATGACGAAAATAAGATGCGCTTTGACAAACATCAAACGAATGAAAAAATTGAAGTTGGACAAATGGTATATGTAGAAACCGGATCGAAGCTGAATCGTGGAAAATTAGATCCTTTGTATGAAGGACCTTATAAAGTAACAGATAAAGTTGGAACCAATATGTTACAAGTAAAGAAAAACAATAAGAAGGATTGGTTCCATATTGCTAAAATCAAACCAGCAATGTTCGGCATACTATTGATTTTATCGTTAATGATAGAACCAATACGAATGATGAATGAAACAGATTGGGACACGATATCAGATTTTGAAACAGATGATCCACCACCATTTGAAACGGTTGACCCGGTGATTTGGGTAAAAACGAATCATAAATTGGCATCGGTATATACTTTGAACTATGTAGTATTGAAAATTCTGGATCCTTGTGTAATAGCAAGAAAAGAAAAACTATTGTTACCAAATGATTTGGTCGATTGTATCATGGCACAAAGAGAAATTGAAAATCTATTAAGTGCAAATTGTCCAGGTTTCAAACCACTGGAAAGTGTTGGACATAATACAAGGAAGAGATCAGTCACCGGAATTGTTACAGCTGGTGCAATGCTATTCTATATTGCCAGTACTGTTATTGGAATGGTTGGACAAGTATGGAATCAATGGGTTCACACTGATATGAAACAAATGAATGAACAGATTAAGATGACAAAAAGGTACGAAGAACAATTTGCAAATAAGACGGTGGATACCTTTAAAAATCTGATGAGTGATATGGATGAATTGGTTGATCAGATTAGTGAAGAATTGAAATCGTTAAGAAATGGAAACCGTATTGTGACACAAATCAAAATAACAGAACCCATTTTAATGAGGTTTTTCAAAATGGCGAAGCAGAAAAAAGTTATTCCTGAATTTGATTATTTGTTTCCGAATATTACTTTGGAAGATAAAATAGATAAACGATATTGGGAGTTAATAAGATGTGAATCAAGAAACAAGGGATACATCAGTTTGGAAATTATCACGCCAAAAGTAAAACCCGATGAAGTAATTTTGAAAGCTCATTCATTCACGATTTACAAAAGAGATGGGAAGGGGGAAACTGCATATAAATATGTTGGCCCGAAATTTTTGGTAATGAATGAAAAGAATGGGTGTATAAAACCAATTCACATTGAACCAAAATCACATGAACCAGAAGTATTTTTATCATTGAGTAAACCATTGGATGAAAGTTGTGGCAAATTCAAGCTAAATGAAGCTTGGAAAAAAACAACTACAACGTTTGGTGAGTTATCATATGAAAAGATACAAACGTATGTGGACGAAAATGCTGTATATTTATATTGCAATGGATCAACGATTGAATTTAGAGAAAAAAGGTACCGTTGTGAAAATTTTGTGTATCGATTGGATCGGAATCAAGAGTTCATGCTGAACAGTGTCAAATATAAGATGCTTGGAAGAAATGTTACTGGAACGTTATTGACGGATAAGTTAAAGGATCGATTGACAAAGAAGGTCTTGGGTGGCTTAACCAATTTTCGAAATTATAAGAAAGAGTTAAGAAATTTAGATCTTCTGGTTAAAGAATTGGATCAAGAAGCTAAAAAATATTGGGAAGTAATTCCACAATATGAAATGTTTTGGGGAATTGTGGCCAGTAGTATTGTTATTATCAGTTTGTTGTTGGCTACAATTTTCGTTGCTATTGGTTTTTGTAAAATGTTTAGAAAAAATCGAAAAATGAAGAAAAGGCTTAAACGAACTGCCTCACAACTAATGCAGATGGAAGTAATGAAAAATCCACAATATCGTACTGTACCATACCAAGGAAGATATTGATGAGGGGGGATGTAAGGATGTACAATTTAAGGTTGCCAACGTGGAAGGTTTTTGAGAATGATACTTGGTAACAAGTATTTGCTGATCTAAACAGAGTAGCAGATTTAACAGGTGATAACAACATCATACGATTTGTGAAATGATGAATCTCAGCAAAATAATGTGTACATCGCGAACTCAGCAATATTTCCTAAGATGATAACGTACGAGACAATCCGTATATAACCCTGATGAATTGATCTAAAAATCAGAGGAGAGGATCCAACAGAGAATATCATCAGAAGAGACGAGAGGATACCACATCAGACGAGACGCTATCAACAGAGGACCAATATCAACAGAGGAGAAGCCGCAGTCATCAGAAGTTACCAGAAGTCAACAGATGTTCATCGATGTTATTATTATTGTGAATAAAGAAATAATTATTCAACAAACGTTCCGGCCTAGAAGAGAGGTTATGACATTTAGTCGTAATATTATAAGAATATCGATGAAGAGGTTGATTGGTCAAAGTACGATCCTCTTGTCACGGGGGATTACGCAGAAAAATGGGAACAAATAAAAAAGAAGATAACAACAAACGAGCATGTTATCACCAACATGTGGCAAAATGGTCATACACATCGAGATGGTCCGCCACCAACGGGAAATCCAAATCAAAACCGCAATTCAACAATGTTACCACCACCAAATGGAGAGTGGACATTTGAACCCACTCAAAAATTCGATACAACCCGATACAAATTAATACAGCCGTTTTCGGAAAAATACATGGAATTCCTAGACTTATGGGATATTTTCATGGATGTGGTGGACAGAGCAACTAATTTGTCAGAATCAGCAAAGTTCCTGTATTTGTATTTCGATATTTTTATATTTCTTAAAGGCCTCCATTGTTTGTTTTTGGAGTTGCTCAATTTTTTTTGTTGAATTTCATTTTTGCATGCTGTAACATCCGCTATATCTGCAAATTTCAGGTTATTATGGAGATTTGTGATATTCGATCTTATGGACTTGGCCAATTTTGCAAACTCGGTCAAATTTTTTCCGAGTTCCTCCTTGGGCGTCTTGTTGTTCGTCTTTGGTCCGAAACTGAACATTTTCTTCAATTATCGTCGTTAATTCGGTTGGCTTCAATTGCCAACGTATATCGTCTTTGTTGTCGTTGCGATTTTCGTTTTTATGTGGTCGTCGTCGTTGCTTTCGTCGTCGTTGTTTTCGTCATCGTTTTTTTTCGTCATCGTTAAACTTCTGTAGATACTCGATTGGATTCACTAGGTATCCTACTGACTTATAATATTATGACAAACTGTCATAAACTTGCTTCTTGACAAAACGTTTGTTGAATAATTATTTTAATGATTTATTTATTGATTTACAATAATGATTATTTGGGTTATTAGGATTTTGGTTGGAATTATATACTAAAATTATCTAAATATTATTCAAGGAAAATATTGCTGAGGTTGCAATGTACACATTATTTTGTTGATATTCATCATTTCACAAATCGCATGATGTTGTTATCACCTGTTAAATCTGTTACTCTGTTTATGTCAGCAAATACTTGTTGCCAAGTATCATTCTTAAAACCTTCCACATTGGCAACATTGAATTGTACATCCTTACATATTATTAAGAAAGGCTATCATCATAATCATTGGCAAAATTTGAAAAGCAAAAAAAAAAGTTAACTTTCTCTCTATATTTTTTATACGATCTTTTAGTTGGATGAAAAAAAACCTATAGAATATTCTGGAAGCATGTTTTTTTTCTCTCTCTCTCTGAATCTCCCTCTACACAATTCACTTTCTAATTCACATTTGTTAAGATTGATTTTTTTTTTTTTTTGATCAAATACACACACGTACACATAATTTTTTGTATTCGAATCTAAAACCAAATGAATGAATGAAAAAACTTTCTTTCAGTGATTTATTATTTGACCATCATCGTCATCATCATCCTTATCATGGCTGATGATGATTTTTTTCAGTTTTTTTATCCGTATCATTATAGCGGAAAATAATAATAATAAAATTATCAAGTGGATACCAATCCATTGATGATAATGATGATGATGATCAATGTCTAAAAGAACAAACAAACAAGCAGGAAAATAAAAAGAATTTCAGTCCAAGAAGAGACAAAATAAAAAAAAAAAAAAAAAATACAAATTCTAGCCATCGAAATTGTATGGAAAGAAACAAAAAGAAAAAAAAAGACATTAACGACATTCGTTTTTATTATTATTACAAACACAAATCATCATCATCATCATCATCATGATCGAAAACAACAATATCGATGATGATGATGATGATAAGTAATAATAACTTGGTCCATTCTATTAACATATATAAATATATTATAGCGATAAATTTGAATTCATGATTTGATGACATGCACATCATCATCATCAATGAATGTATGTATCATAATCATAATCTTGATCAAAAAAAAGTATCCAACATTCATCGATGGTTTTTTTTTTTTTTTTTTGTTGTTTTTATTGTTATTAATATTAATTACAACGATGATCATGATGATCATCAAGATCATCTTTATCATCATCATCATCATCATCATTATTCCATATGTCCTAATGTTATAATTATATTTTTCTCATGTTTTTGTTTTTTTTTTTTTTTTGTTGTCTGACCAATAAAGTAATTCTATTCTAAATGTGAATTCTATTAACATTGTGGCTGATGTATGGAGAAAAATTTTATTCCGGTCTCGTATACAGATGTCTGTTTTTTTTCTGTTTTGTTTTGTTTTGTTTTTTCAATAGAATTTTTTTTTCTGGTAATTTGATCGCTTAATATTTTGAAATTTGAATTTTAGTTTTCAGTATTTTTTTTCTCTATTGAAATGTCACCTGTATATTGTTTGGAAAAAAAAATGGTGTCATGTGATTTTTTTTTTTATTTTATTTCGGGAATAAATCGGAAATAATAGGAATATTTAAATAGAATGAAGAATAACAATGACGGAAACGGAAAAAAACGAACTGAAAAAACGACAAAAAGGAAATTCTCTCTCTCTCCCTATTGCTCTCATATCTGCAAATTTATACACCTAGATTCATTATGAAGAATAAACGATGATGATGATGTTCATGGGTTGATGATGAAGATTTTATTCAAATTACTATAGAAAATATTCAATTTTTGGTATTAATATTAATGAAGTTTTGTTCATTAATTAAGTACACACACACACATACAGAAAACGATTATATTTGGAAACTGTAGGGTTGTGTGTGTGTGTTTCTATGAGAAAAGAGGAAATTGTAATTTTTTTTTTTTTTTGGCAAAAACCGCTTGACTTGTTTGACGTTTCAATTTTTCTTTTTTTTCTGATATTTCATTTTCATTTTCATTTTTTTTGTCATCATCATCATCATCATCATCCTGGTGATGGATCCAATTCTTTTTTTTTTCATTGAAAAATGAACGGTATAATTTTACAAATGTTGCTGCTATTTGTTTGTTTGTTTGTTTTTGTTTTTGCAGAAGGAAAAAAAATAAATACACTCACACCCACACAAGAATGATTCGAATGTATCCATTTTCAATGATGATAATTATGATCTAGATTAAATTTGATCCATGTTTTGTTGTTGTTGTCTTGTTTGAAAATTGACTGAAACGTACATATATCTAGTTATAATGATGTGTTAATTATTTTTTCATTCATTCATTTGTTTGTTTTTGGTACAACACTTATTCATGCATATGATGATAATAATAATGACTTGAAAATTTGTAATAATTCCATTCATTCAAAATAGTGAAAAGAAAAAAAAATTCCAGTAAATAGAATTTTTCTTTCTATTTAACATGTGGGTATTATTGTCATAATAATAATTAAATTATAAAATTGAAGTGGAAATGTAAATACATTGTAAATATGAAATATGAAACAAAACAAAAAAAAATTTTTTTTTTTACTTACTCACGATGTTGATCTTCAACTTTATGTACATCAAAATCCATAAATATCACTTGTACACGTTCTTTACCATGTCCAACAAAATGATAACTACAACGCATTTGTGTCGGATATGGTTCCGGATAGTTGGGTGATGTAAATGTACCATTTTTATGTAGTTCAGATGAAAACCAACGATCACACGATGATGATGATGATTGAATATTATTTGACGACGTTGATGATGATGAAATAATACCGATATCACTGTTATTTCCGTTCAACTTTCCGCTCGTATCCGTTTGATTATTAGCTGTTAATTTTTTTTTCATTATAACATATATATTTTAGATGACCAAAATAAATGAATGGATGAGCAAAAAAAAAAAAAAAATTCATAGAATTATAAATGTAATCACAAAAATTATCATTATTACAACACAACAAAGTTCTCTACTGTACCCTAAATTTGATCAACACAGAAAACAATAGAAAAATAGTAAAAAAAACTACCATGGATAAATCCGAGAGTTAAGGCAAACTAAAAAAAAATCCGGAAACTACGATAATGATATGAATTTCACCATTAAACGAATAATTATTATCAATAAACATGAATTGAAGAATAGCAAAAAAAAAAATTACGGAAGTTTATCATTGATATATGTATATGTACCATACATTTGGGATTGACGATTTGGGTTTTCCGTTTTCCGGATATACTAACCAACTATATCAACATTATGTTTTTAGAGCTATGAGATAACGCACACACACACACACACACACACACATGCACAGCAGAATTGAACATCAACAACAACAACAACAAAAAGTCTAAATATATCGGTTTTTATTCTCATTTACTTTTTTTTGTCTTCAACTTTGACTTTCTAATTTCAAAAATCAAACATTGAAATGTAATGGAGAAAGAAAGTTAGTAAGAAAAAAAACTGTTTTTTCTCCCACCAAACACACACACACACATGTTTGAAGAAACATCATCATTATCGTTATAATCATCATCAACATCAACATTGTCGATAAATGGTAAATTATAGGAATGATGTTAAAACGAGTACTGTATGTTATATATGTTATATTGTTGATTGAAAATTCAATTTAACTGTAACTATCGTTACAAAAAAATTTTTTTCCTATTTTGTTTCTAGTTATTATTGTTTCTCTATGTCTTTGTGAATGCAGCACAAGATGGTAGTGGACCATTTTCTTGTTGATCGCATTCAATTTATTTTTGACCATTTTTTTTCATCATCATCATCATCATCAACCATTTAATGAACAATAGTTAAATGGTAAATAAATATAAAGTGAAAATTTGTTCAACCGCAAAATTCCCATTCTTCTTCTTCTTCATCATCATCTTTTTCATTGTTTAGATCCGATTCTTATTTGTTTGATTTGTATGTTATATATATATATATTGTATTGACATATAAGTTTTGATTTTTTGGTGTTTGTGTGTGTGTGTGAATGGGAAGTATAAATTTGTAGAATTTAAAATTACAAATTTTGTTGTGGATGATAATAATAAAATACGGGAAATTGTTAGCTAAAGAAAAAAAAAACATGGACATTAGTAGTCACAAAGTGTATACTCTAATAGTGGAAAAATATTAAATGCTGACCATTTTGAAATTAAACGGAACCATTTTTCCGGTTGATTTAACGGTAACAAAAAATAGAACGAAGAAGAGAGAATGGATAAAAAAAAATATAGAGAATTTGAGAATATCAAATTTCAAACGTTAGAACTAGACAAGAACGTTTGAAAAAAAGGAGGAGTAGGTGGAAAAAAAATGGTGAATTTTAGAAGAAAAAAAAACGACAAAACGTAAAAAAATAAATTGTAAATACTCCCACACACACACACACACACAGGAAAAACGTGAGATACGATAATGATGAGAATCATATTATCCGAACTATATGAATCTTATGAATCTGAGAAAAAAAATTCCATTTTTTTACGTTTACCGTTTTCATGTTACAAAAGAAAAAATGATGAAAAAAAACTGGACAGAAAAAAAAATTCGTTACAAAACAGAATGTAGGAAAATTATCGACAAAAAAATAGCAAGCAGAATAGCAAACATAGAAACAATGGCAACAGCTGCTGCTGCTGCTGCTGCTACTGTTGTATGTTGTCATTGTTGTTGTTGTTGTTGTTGTTGTTGCTGTTTTTGAACTGCATTGGTCGACATATTTATCTATTACATATAAATGTATTCGTATGATTCGAGAGAGAGAGAGAGAGCAAAACAAAAATTCTTTGTCCAATTCTGTCCTCGATTTTTATCAGGGAATTTTTTTGGCTTTGGTTTTTAGCTTATTTTGTCACTAAAGTGGCAAAAGTTATTGGTCACACACACGCACACAAAACAAACCTGTCATCCCCTACAATCTCAAAACTTGTTTGTGTGTGTGTGTGTGTGTACTAATAACGGCTGGCACGATATATATATATATATAGTCATATTAAGAATGGAATTTCTTTTCATTTTCCATTTATGAGATATGATGAAAATGGATACAAATAGAAAATAAAAAATTCTGCTGTTGATAATATAGTTTGTTTGTTTTGTTTGTCGGTAGTAAATAATAGAATAGATCAGAACAGATCATATTTTCAGTGTATTGGAAAAATATTCTTGTTTTTTTCTCTCTCTTTGAAACAACAATGTAGATTATGTTTCAATTTGTCAAAATTCTATTGAATTTTTTTTGTCTGTTTTTTTCATTCATTGAAATTAAATTCACATACAGAATATGAAAAAGAATTGGAAAAATTGAAAACAAAATTTTTTTTTCTCTGTACGGAACTTATTTACAAACAGAATTTATTCGATAAAAATCATGGTAGAAATTTTTTAAAAAATACGGTTATTCCAATCACTAGGTGATAAAACAACCAAATTTAATTTTCTTCAATTCTTAAATAGTGTGTATTGGGTTTTTTTTCATCACTACTCACTACTCTTATCACATTTTGGTGATCAATCAAATGAATGAATGGAAAATGGAAAAATTGTTTTATTTTATTTTTTTTTTCTTCCACTTTCATCAACTACTAGATTCATATTCATAGCTTGTTGCCAAATATGAATATCATTCGACCAATTCGTACATACAAAACTTAATTTTTAGAATTATTATTATTATTATGTGGCTAGATGGCCAACAATAACGAAAACAATATACATGATGATGATGATGATTAATTTATTCCTGTAGAATATTGGTTGAACCATAAGAAATTTTTTTTTTTGAATTCTTTATTCGTTATTGAATATATAATCTATGACCATTCATGTAATAATTTATATAATTCGTTTATTTGTCAATGTCAAAATGTATTTTATGGTTGCTGTTGACCACACACACACATATATCATCATTATTGCTGAAACTAGAATAATATTGAAAAAAATTCATCACGTTTTTTGACTAGATTTCCATTTTTTTTCTACTGAAAATTCAAAAAAAAAAATGTTTGAAATATCCATAAAAAATGAGTTGAAAATAAATTTATAACTCGAACAACAACAACAACAACAGCAGCAAAAATTCTTGACAATGGTAAATAAAAATAAAAAAAGAAAAGTCAAGAATAAATGAATGAAACAAAACAAAAAAAAATCCACAGAATTTGAAATGCGATTCGTATATTGTTCAGGACATGAAAATATGATGCCGGAAATATAATCGCAATTGTATAAATGTCAAAGGTTTTTTTTTCTATTCGGATGATATCAAAAAATTAGTCGTAGTAAATTACCAACAATTTAAATGAATCATCAAATTGTCAACCAGTTTAGTATATTATTAGCTACCGTAAATAAAAAGTGAGAGAGAGAGAGAGAGCTTTGAGTTCGTTATTTTTTATTATTATTACACACACACACACACACTACCGAAATTCAATACCGATGAATGATTAGCTCAATAAAATTGAGAAAAAACACTAAGAATCACACCATAAATGAAAAATAAACAAACAAAAAAAAACCGTGAATGATAGAAAAATTCGGGTCATAAACGGTAACTTGGGCAATAAAAAAAAATTCTCAGGTAGCCAAAAAAAAAAAAAATAAATAGTTTATTATGGGCGTCAATGACGATGATAAACAAACAAACAAAACAAAACAAAAAAAAAGAAAGAACAAACACTCGGCACATGGACATAATTCACCAAACAAAAAAAAACGAAAAAAAAACAACAAACGAAACAATGACGTGATAGAAAAAAAAATGTTTTATTGTTTGTGAGAAATGGCAAGCAGAAATAAAAAGCGAAAAAAAATCGAAAAATAACCAAAGACAATAAATAAATATATAAATGAAAAAAAATTGAAGATTAACATTGGTTCATTTACACTGTGAGTGAATGAAAATTAAAGAAAATTTTCGATTCATTTCATTGTCCAAATGTGTCTTATGCAATAACATATGACTTTTTTTCTTCTTCGTTTTTTTTACCATTTCATTGTCATTGGTAAAAGTTTTTCCATTAATCCCTATATATATTGGATTTGGAAAGAAATCTCATTGGAATAATTTTTATTGAAAAAAAAAAACAAAACCAGAAAGAAAAAGAAAAGAATCAACAAACATCATTACCAGTACTACTTTTCATGCATTTTATTTTTGTTTTTACTTTTTTTTTTGCTGAGAAAAAAAAAATTCTTACTAAAATGACAAAAACAATTGACTGGATGAATGAATTTGTTCTGCGAACATTATAACAAACAAACAATAAACTCTTCAAGAATATTCGTGCAGATATATTTCTAATAAATTTCCCTGTTTCAAATGATTCCAATAAAAAAAATCACATTTTTTTAAAAAACCAAATCATCATATGGGTGGTTGTTTGTTGGATATTGTAAAGGAATAATATCCGTTTATTATTATCAAACAAACAAATAATATTGATCATCCACATGATGATGATGATGATGATCAGAAAGAGAATTGCATTCAAACAAACAAACAAACAAACAAACAAACATTTATATTTATAGATATAAATTATAGCTGGCGATGGCATTTTGGTTTTATATTTTTTTCCTCTTTATCACTTTCTCCATTTGTGTGTGTGTGTGCATTGCATACATAGAGAGAGAGAGAGAAAAAAAATATGTCACAAATAATGGCCAAATATATTGACACACACACACACACACACACACACAAAGATTTTTATATGGACACACACAAAAACGTACATATGTGTGGCACATATATATAAAATATTATAAAATATGGAATGTTGTATATATATATTGAAAT